CAGGGTCACTTCTAATCATTTCTAATGAGCCACCTTGCAGTTTACTCACTTGGCGCTGCTGCCACCAGTCCAAACAAATTAGTTAAGCTCAGAAGTAAACACTCCAGCAGATTCTTGCGGGATGCAAACAGACCTTTAGTTCCTCCACACAATTATTCAATGTGTCAAACACAGTCACCCTTCATTCAAGCATTTGCTCAATCACTTGATGCAACAATCACTTCTCTGCTCACTCCCTCACTTTCCCAAACTGCTAGTGCTCCTTCTCCCTCCCCAGCCCGTCTCAGTTTTTCCACATAGTTGTTCTATTTTTCCTTTGTTTGTTTCCCTCCCTCTTTGTTTGTTGCCACCTTTGCTTATTTACATGTGTCTTTCTTTCTGCTCCAGCAGGCACACGTCTAAAAATACCTGTTCTCGTCTGCAGGTGCAACAGTTCCAGTGGGATTAGAAATGTGGCGTCTACTGACTGGCATCCTTTTCCCCCCACTGCTGGTGTTTTTTGGTAAAGATGGTGGCCATTTAATATTTTTACACATGTGCGCGGCAGTTCTCGGTATACGTCTCAGTCTTGTGATTTATGTGCTTTACAGTTTTTCTCAAATGCTAAAACACATGTCACAAACGTTACCACCAGGTCCCCCAATGTCCAAACACAACACCCTTCTCTAAAGCTACATAAACACAACCACACCTTCCCACTGCAAAACTCAAACTCCCACACCAAGAGAGCAGCTCGAAGCTGTCAAAACTGTAAACACTATACACAGCATTACACACTACAGCAAAACAATTGAAAACACAATGCTCAATTTGTGAGAAGGTTCTTTGTTTCATAACTGCCAATGCATATTTTAGAAACTATACAGTAACGGATCGTCGTAGATCTCTGCAGAGGATTAGGCATTTAGATTTTTGAGTTTCATATGAGTAGTATAAATCTATAGAAAATCCTGCATGTACGTACACTACTGTAACACAACTCAATGCAAAAACAGAATCTATTGCACACAACAGTAATCTTGAAAACATGAACAGGGTGTGAAGTTTTTTTATTTACGTTATTCACACCACACACACACCACAATCACTGTGCGGCATCATGTCGCTGAGCTGTTGCTCGCATCTCGTCCGTAATGATGGTGCGAGGTTGTCTTGCTCTCCCTCCTGGACCTTCTCCTCTCCCATGTTGGCCTTCTCCTCTTCCTCATTGGCCTGCTCCTCTTCTTCCAGGGCCAGCTCTTCTCCCTCCTCTGCATCAAATTCCTCTTCCCCTGACTCTGCCTTCATCCATTGTGTTTGTTTGGAACCTTCAGCATACTGTGCACTCTGAACTTGCTTTTACATGTGGGTACAGCATTAGCAACAAGTGTCTTCAATTTTGAGTCATTGTGTGTAGTGAATGACGCCAGGTGTGTTCCCTGTGTTCAAAGATTGGTGACTGTGGCAAGCATTTTGCATCACATGGGCTTTCATTTGAGGATATGAGCAGAGTTGTTTTGCAACATGTGTTTTAGCAAGGAAAAATGTGTTTAGATTTATGAGTACAGAGGGTTGTGTTTTGTGAATTGTGTCTTCATGTGACATGTGTTTATGGTACTGGAATATGGTGGCTACATTTAGTAAATGTGTTTAGACTACTGGTCATTTGGGTTACAGGATTGGCTTTTGTGTTTTAACATTTGAGAAAAACTGTAATATATCTTTATGTGTGGGTGTAAAAGTCACCTCTAACACCTTGTATGCACACAAGTAGGGCAGCGGTGTTTCATGAATAAAAACAACTCCAGCTGCTGTGCAGTCCCACTGAGCCTGACGGATGCTTGCGGTACCAACTGCCACTGTAGATTAAATTAATGAAGTCTTGAAATAACCAGAATAAACATGCTAATCGTGTACAGTTCGTCATATATTCACAGCCTGTTTGAGTACTTTTAATATGAGCCAGGCTCAAGTTTGAGCTGCAACTATCACTTTATGAATGAAATTCAAATTGTATTTGTCACGTACACAGTCATACACAGTACGATGTGCAGTGAAATGCTTAGATAACTGCTCGTGACCTAAAGAAAAGAAGACTATGAATAGGATAGGAAACAAATATGAAAATCAAAATGAAGGGTAAATTTAGCTAGGAAGGAATAAAATATAAAAATTAAAGTTAAAAATAAAATAACTGTACAACAAAATACACAATACACAATATAGAAATATATAAGAATATATGAAGAAATATAGAACAATAACAGCAGCTGTACAAGTACTAAATGGTATGAAGAAATATAATATCCAGGGTTGTGCAATCCACATGTGTAAGTGTCTTGTGCAGTGCAAATATGCTTAAAGTGATTTATTTAAGTGACTTGTGATAAAGTGATTCGATTAGATGACCACACAGTGTAGTTGTGCAGTGGCCACTAGTGTAAACAAATGTCCAGAATGTCCAGCGTGTGTGTAAAAACCATATGTGTGGGTCAGTACTATGTGGTGGTGTGATTGAGAGACCGTATCGCCTGCGGGAAGAAGCTCCTCCTCAGTCTCTCTGTGTTGGTCTTCAGGGAGCGGAATCGCTTTCCTGACCTCAACAGAGAGAACAGTCTGTTGTTGGGATGGCTGAGGACTGTTCTCTCTGAATGAAGAAATTAGATAAAAATTAAGAGTAAAATTTGCCTCTTCTCTGTATTTTAAAGAAAATCAAATAATGTGGGTGTTTTTGACTGTGTGACAGAAGATCTACAGCAGTTTCTACAAAAATGGGATGTTCTTTTCTACTTTTCTCATGTTTTATGAAGCAATAAGTGATCAGCTAATAAAAAAAAACTGAACAATGTAAAAGGGTATTTTCAACTACGCTGTTTAAAAACGTCTACAAAGTCAGTTATCGGTCTCTCTCATTAGGGAGCAAAATGTGAATTCATTTCACAGGCGTGTGCAGATGTGCAATAGGTGCATGTTGAATGGGCTGCAGGTCTCATGTGACCAACAGTGATAATAAAGAAAAACTAGAAATAGAAGTCAGTGAGGAAGGAGGAGAGAAAAGTGGTCTGTGGCCACCACCTGCCTAACCACTCCCCTTTTGGGGCTTGTCTTGTTGTTGCTTCTCCAGCTCACTTGTTGTCACTTTCATTTCACCAAAAGAGGTAAAAGGGCTTTCCAATGGCTCATGCTTTTCAAACTTGAGGTTTGAGTGACATTGCATATTACTCAGATGATTGAGTGTTAACTTAATTTATACTCTGATGAGTATTTTGTGATTTGATAACCTTTATCCTTCATTAATTGATGAAGTGGCTTCAGTTGCCTAACACAGCAGTCCCCAACCCCCGGGCCTCGGACTGGTACCGGTCCGTGAGTCATTTGGTACCGGGCCGCGAGAGTTGAGGCTCAGGTGTGAAATGTATAATTTTCAGGGTTTTTATCGGTTTTCAGCGTTATTTTGTTATCGTTTTTATCGTTAACTCGGTTTTCCTGGGTCTTTTCACGTGTGCTATGAATAAATCCTCTTTTTTTCAGTACCGGTACTAGTTTTATTTTGTTGTATTTATTTACAACCTTAAAGACCTTAAATATTGTCGGGCATAAACCGGTCCGTGGCGCAAAAAAGGTTGGGGACCGCTGGCTTAACATGTGAAAGATCCCTGCTTTGAGTCTGGGAGGGGACACTAAGGGACATTTGGTGAAAAAGTCAAACAAGTGCTGTGGTGATGCCCAGTTGTGACCCCTCAGCTAGAGCAGGTCATCTACTAATCGAAAGGTTGGTGATTCGATTATTGGCCGCTGCAGTCTGCATGCCAAATATCCTTGGGCGAGATACTGAACCCCAAGTTACTCCCTGATTCATTCATTGCAGAGTGAATGTCTGTGAATGTTAGACAGCAAGCACTAAAGCATAAAAAACTGCTTGTGTGAAGGAGGTATGTTGTATGAATTGCTTTGAGTGCTTAAGGAGAGTAGATATATGAGCCAGTCCATTAACCGCTAAGGAGCAGCTGAAAGACCTTTTTAATTGAAGAACTGCTAACACTAGTATATGTTGGCAAGGACATGGGTTAGAAGCCCAACCAGTCATGTGCAAATAGCTTTCTTTAGTTCTGAAAATTTAGTTATGGTGGTGGTCAGAGGGCCCGGTGGCGCCAGTGTCCGGCAGCCTGGCCTCTGTCAGTGCACCCCAGGGCAGCTGTGGCTACAATGTACAATGTGGCTACAATACAATGGGTGGACAACTGAATGTAAAGCGCTTTGGGGTCCATAGGGACTAAGTAAAGCGCTATACAAATACAGGACATTTACCATTTACCATGAAAAGCAGAGAAAGCAATCAAAAAGCAAACCCTGAAAATGCCACTTAATGATAATTACTCCGATTGCATTACTGGTTTATTACAATAGCAGAAACTAGTGTTTTTTTCTCTCCCTTGCTCTGGGCAAAGGAATAGTATATGTTACCTTAAGGGACAGAAGTAAACACGTCTTAGGCCGTGACTATGCAAACTGGCTCTACACTGTAACTCAGATAGGCAATCCTGTTGAGTTGTTGAATGAGCTATTTGGCGGCTGATGACGCATCGTGCTCGACGGACTTTGCAGTCAAGAGTTGTGCAGACTAACGGTGTCTGTCAAATCCTTACAACCACAGGTTTCAATATCATTTTGTGACGGCTGTAACTGGTAGAGGCTGAATAAATACATATACATATATGTAACTGACTTACAGTTAACCCTAAGCCTAACCCATGGCTTCCAAGCCACATGCAGCTTTTTAGCGGCTTGGAAGCCACAGGTTGCTGACCTTTGGTTTCAACAAATGAGTATTTATAATTATTTTTTCCACTGCCATGATTTGCGTAAGAAAAGGTATAAACAGGTTTACAAATTGTATTGTATTGTAATTTTGTTTTTCTAAAAGATGAGTGTGATTTTGACATAGCCAGCATGCAGAACCCAACCCAAGAGCTCTCTGTTCAGCAGTAATTACTCTCTTCAATATTTGAAAGTCCACTCACCTGTGCAGGGGAGTAGAGGCGACATCGAGGGTGAGTGTGTCCCTCATGAGTAGCGCTCCCTCCTCCTCCATCTCGAAGTGGTGCCATCAATCCGCTACTTGGGCCTCCGACTGTTCCCGCTGTAATTGCGCCAGACACTCCGCCACCTACGCCTGCCCCGCTCGCAGTGGCAACGGTGGCCCCAGCGATAGCTCCGATGCCTCCCATCATGCAGCACAGGCCTCCCTGGGCCAACTCCAATTCAATCTCTGCATCCATCTCGGCATCCTCCTGTGCCTCCTTGTTGGAATCGTCTAGATGTTTCATCAGCACGGCAACCACCACGTTTATCAGTACGAACTGAGCTGTGAGCACGAATGACACGAAATACATCGGGGAGATGAACTGCAGTCCGGCATGACAGCCGTAGTCGGTTCCTGGACGATCAGGCGGGCACTCTCTCAGGGTGTCCTAATGGATAAAAGGGTATTGAGAGAGTTTTAAAGGATTGAGGAAGGAGACAGGAATGAAGTGTCAAACACATGAAAAGGCAGTAAAGGAGCAGTGAAAGAGTGAGTGGATAAAATGGAAAAATAGTGAGGATTCGGCAGATAAAGCTGAATAGCAGGAAAGTAGGGAAAAGAAAAGGGGAAGAGGAAAAGATCAGTCAAATAAGGAAGATTTTATATGTAGTAAACACACAAAATATTTGCTAGAAATAATTATTTTAAATCAGAGTTGGGCTTAGAAAATGTGACCATATTGCCCAGTTTCATTTCCATCATTTACCAATCAATCAATTAATACTCTTTAGTTTTAACATGACACACTGTCAAACTTTCACACTTCCAGAAATCTGCTTTTCAGCCACAGTCACTTTTTAGAGAGCCTAATCAGCACTGATTAACAGCTGGATATGAGCTGTTATAAAATTTTAAGAGCTCCAGGTACTCGGGGTACTTGGGTGTGATTGGAGAGTAAGATTGAAGTGATAGATGAAATTGAAGAGGCAGATGAAATAGTCACTTTTTGTGAATGTGAATTTGAATCTTCATTCATCCTCTGTAGACTCTGAGTGCACATTTACATCTTCAGGATCATCTTTGCTAAAGGACACGCTCATTACGCACTCATTTCCCCAACCTAAATACGGTCTAGTCCACAAATTTGAACTAAAGACCTTCAATTATAATTCAGCTTCTCATCCTCTTTCTCTGCTGAGGTTGGAGTAGCTTATATACGATCAGCCAACCAGTTCAATGTAAGCATGTATGTGTTATTAGAATAGAATTAGAAATGCTCAAACGGTGTCTCATCTAAAAAAAATCTGTCCAACACTGCCACTGGAGACAAGTTGAGGTAAAGCGGAGTGAAAAACAATCATTTAGGTCCATTAGATAACCCAGCCCAAAATGATGAAATGAGGATGAAGAACAAAAGTACCTTCATGATGCCATTCCAGTTGTCGCCAGTTGAAACCTGGAAGAGCGTAAGGAAGGCCATTCCAAAGTTTTCAAAGGTAGCATGGCGGCTCATTCCTTCACAGGGGTAGTCAGCATTACACACTGAGACCAAACATCAAGTGGAAAGAAAACAAAATGAGCAAGACATGGTAAAGAGTGAATTGTGGCTCAGTCAGTTGTATCTTTCTTTTGCGTCTGTCCATAGAGTGAGACATAACAAATGAGCAGGTGGTACAAATGGAGATGAATCCAGGTCAAAAAGGCAAATCCAAACATTCCTTGTATGCTGCGTTTTTCATTGCAGTGTTTTTACAGATATCTAATTATATTTGATAAACATGCTCCAAAAAGCCTTTAGTAGGAACAAAAGTGGTGTCTGAAAGACCCACCTAGTTCTCCAAACAGCTCCACACCCAGAGCAGCATAGATGAAAAACAGCAACATGAAGAGTAGGCCCAAGTTCCCCACCTGGAACATAAAGAAAAAGCATTCATTTCTTATATTCATTTGTGGAATCGAATCACGTGGACCTCCACAGTTAGGTGAGGGGGGCTCAGCCACTGTGCAAACTGACTCAGTAGTTTCCAACTCCTCCTCCTATTTCCCCTGTCAGAGTTCAGAGATAACGGTACTTAATATAACAGGATTTCACTATTTATGAGTTTATATTTGAAACCAGAACCTTCATGTTCCTTTTGCATTGCTTGTTATCATCCGTGAATCACACAGCAAGGCCTTGTCTGTCTCATGATGAAACATGATTAACTGCAGTTTTGTTCCTGTTTGTTCCTGTTTGGTGCTTCTCCAGGACTGGAGAAGAATTTCATTGGCTCAGAAATAGTTGCAAGGCAGGTTTACGCAGCATCGTCATTGTATTGCACAGTTCTGGGTGACACTGTAATATGTGTGAATCGGTTGATGTGGATGGTCACAGTGTAGATGTAGATGGATAAAGGGCCCCTGTGGGTGCAGTAGTAGGCACTAGCATCACACCATTAGCTAAGTCACTTCACAGGGAAGGCAGTGGGGTGCTTTTAAATAGGTGAATGTAGGATTCTATTAGACAGTCAAATGAACTGAGAGAAGCTGGGGATAGCATACAATGTGTTTTAGTTTTTACAGGAGGTGAGATCACAGTGGAGGACTGCATATAATGAGAGAAGGAGATAAGCAGAAATGAATGTATATACACTACAGAGGAGAGGTTAGGCAATGCCTGAGGAGAGCGTTCTTCTCATGATAGATGTAAAAAAAAATCCATGCCTCGGCCTGAAGCAGTCTGCAGCTTGCAACTTAAACCCATCTGATGTTTTTGGATTCCTTGAGCAGAGACTGAAAGCAAGCTTCAGGAGCAGTGTTGCTATACAATGTGAAACAGACAACTGAATGCTAAGGAAGCAACACAATGATCAACAAGGTAGCTGAAGTTGGAGCATCCTGTGTCGTGTACATCTTTTGGTTTCTGGTAAACGAATCTAAAATCTAAAGCCATCTACTACATTTTAAAAGTGTGTCCTGAAAATGTTGTTGGTGCCATTGGGAGGAACATTTTTTTCTTCAAGGTAAATTCTTTCTCCATAATGTGATATGAGAAACACTGGCATATGGTCAAGGCCACCCACTTCAAATCCCAACTGAAAACAAGCAGGATGATTTGTTTTCTTTACAGACACAGACCGTTAAGGACAAAGACATCGCTAAACCATGGAGCACAACCCTCCTACTGTTCTCTGTCCTTAAGCAAAGAACTTGTATTTGAGACACATTTAAAACACAAGCAGAAAAGGTCACAAGACACTACTTCTTCTTATATAGGCATTTTTAAAACCACTGTATATTTCTTTGGTGCCTAGCAGAGGGATGCCAGTTGGTGTAATTGAGAGAAATTCTGAGACAATTTCTAGGTGGACCAGAAAAAAAAGGTCACAGCACACTCATGAATTTGATTTTTCTACTGTGCAAGCATAACTGTGCATACTTGCTATTAAGCTATCTTTCTTCTGGCTTCAGTGAAGACATGCTCTACTGAAGAAAACATTGATGTTCTGGCTTGTTACGTGCTCACTTTACAAAAGGTAAAATTGACCTCATGAAAAATGTGCGGATGCTGCAAAATGAACTTATTTAACAACAGAGCCTACTGCTATATCGTATAGACAATGCCAATTACATGCTTCATTTGCTCTACACAGAGTTGCAGTAACATTACAAACGATCAACTAATGGCTTTTGTGTCATAGCACAGTGGCAATAAATCTATCATGAAACGACCTGTGAAAAAGAAAAAATATAGATGAAATGATACTGGAACACTTCCAGGATCTATACGATTGAATGCTTTCTTCCCATTTTTACTAATATATAAATACACAGTAGTATGCTATTTATAATGCATCACAGTGAAGCCTCAACTGTTATTGTTTTTTCAGAGAACAGCTGATAATTTGGCTTTTTTATGCTTTTTTTTATTGGACACTTAAAAATAACAATGGCATTAAATTAATATCTGCCAGCATTTTGAATTTAACAGTATTTCATTTACTATTTACCAATGAAACCTTGAGTTTGTGTGTGTTCATGTCGATTTTGTTTTTGTGAAACTGAAAATGAAAGAGCTTGCTTTTATAAATGTGAGGCTTACTGAAGCAGAGACATTTTCTGTGACTATAATTTATATATGTGCACAAATTTTGCAATCCAAACATCAGGGAGACAAAAATCCTCCCAGACACCCAGGAGAAAGAACTTCTTGCTGCTGACTCACTCCATTAGAAATGCCTTGAATAAGGATATGTTTCCAAGAGTTGACAGTTCCAATACATCACAGCTTTCTTTCCCCTCTAGTTTGACCAATTTTCTTTTTAAAAAACCTTGACACTTTACACATTTTAGAATTTTCTGTATATCTCGTTAAATATGACCCATGCTTAGATCCATAAGCTTTTTTTGTCATTTTGCCTCTGTACTCCACCACAGTGGATTTAAGATGTGACTGAAGTGCAAACTTTCATTTTTAATTCAACGGGTTTTAAAAGGTAATTCATATATTAACAGTTTAGAAATTGCAGCAATTTTATCTATTAGTCGCTCATTTTCAGAGGCTCAAAATGAACTGCACAGTGACTGACAAGCAGTTTTATGGTCAAAGAAATCCCGTTCACTTGATATTCTATGACAAATGTATTAGATAAAAGGTAGCTGCTAACTGGAAGTTTCAATCTGAGGTTCCAAAACATGATGATGCCAGAAAAAGAGGCCATCATTTGGCTAAAATCCCAAAATGAATCTTAAAAAGGAAAAAAATGTGGCAACACCAAAAGACCATTGAAAAAAAGATAAAATCGATAACTGTAAATTATAGTCGTGGTAAAGAAAAAACCCTTTGTCATTGTCATCAAGTCTACAAGCTAGAGATGAAATACATAGAAATACAGATGAAATCGAGAGGATTTACAACAAGGTGAGATTAGGTCAGATTAGACTTGACTAAAAACATCTGAAGGAGACGCCCAGTTTTAGAGAAAAATCTTTGATGAAGACTAATTTGTATCAAAATGATTGGAAAAGAAAATTATGTGGAAGGAGTAAAACAGCTCATGATAGAAGTGATAGCTGATGGGCTACGCCCTCTGCTCAGCTTCAGCAGAGCTGACTTTATGGCTCTTTGCAGTGCACATGGGTAAGAGGTGAAAGCAAAAGCAACCCAAGAATTGTCATGACAGAAAAATGAGATATTAAAGCCAAGATCCAAAGGATCAAAAAAGGACAAAAAATAATAATAATCCATAAATCTAAAGTGACTTTGTCCATTTACGTTTGAGCCTCTGAAAATGGGAGAGTGTGGGTATAAAACCTGCTGTAATTCCTGCAGGGTTAAGTAGTTTTGTTAAACGCCATGAATTAAAGCTTAAAGTCTGCACTTCAAGCAAATGTAGATCATTTCAGTTTGAACTGACTGTGGTGGTGTACAGAAGCAAAATTATAAACCTGTGTTGAGTCCCAAAAGAGCAGAGTGTGACTGGAGTACGTGCTGGTAAAATATCTCAACATTACTGAACTCCTAATAAGTTATTAAACATCCCCAGCTAAAATAGTCGATCTACAGTGTCTCTGTGTCCCCTCAGATTCCACAAAACCATCCATTAATATCAGCAAAGGCTTGAGACCAAGAGTCTTTCAGTGCAACAGGGGAGCAGAGCACATTTGCTGCTCTGTTCCCATTAACGGTGGTAAGAATGAAAAAAAAAAAAAGAAATCTTAACTTATTGCTGCGAGTGTGTGTCGGTGTTTTTTTTTAAATTCCTGAATAAATTAGAGCAGCCATGGAAATTTACCAAGTGTCATAAGATTAAGGGCAAAAATTTTTCTAATAACCTGACTTTTTAAAAGTTCTTATTCTCAGAGAGCGTTTATCGACTCTGGTCATTTATCATTTCACAAATGTTAATTAACTCCTGGGTGCTCTTGAGATAAGCTCTGGGGTGTGTGTGTGTGTGTGTGTGTGTGTGTGTGTGTGTGTGTGTGTGTGTGTGTGTGTGTGTGTGTGTGTGTGTGTGATGACTCATACCTGAGGCAGAGCTTGGACCACGGTGTCAAGAAGAGCTCTCATCCCCGTTGCCATTTTCAACAACTTCAACACTGAAGAGAGATCACACAGGGTCAGAGAAAACTATAGCCATGGGTAAAACTGCATAAGTCTGTGTCTGTACGTGACACTTGACCTACGTGTTGGGGTGATAAACAACCAACAACACCTACAGAGTGAAGAGAAGTAATACCAAAGACAGAAAGACTAAAGACACCAGAGGGATGGAGGAGAAAAGTCAAGATAGATACATAAGGTGTGGGCAGAGAGAGAAAGAGAGACAGTAAACGATCAATACATGGAACAGGTTTCCCAGCTCATCATAAGCGACCTTCGACAATTCCCAGATGTCCAATTTCTGGAGGAACTCGGTAATTACTGGAGCCAGAGGAAAACATGAGAGTATTCTCACAGAGAACAGCAAGGAACAATATAACCTCCTGGGAGATGGGCTGCTCTTCACAGTTCTTAGTGAAGATACACAGTGCGTGACAAAGAGAGGGTGAAAGCAGTGGTTACAGCCCACGAAGAGAACAACTCTTAATAACCTTTTCACCAAAACATACAGCCAACAGCTTTACTTACAGGCAGTTGCTGCCTTTATTTGCTGAAAACATTTTAGAGTCTTTAATGCTCGATCACAGCGACTTTTTAAAAAAAATGCTGTTTGCCAATCATTTTAATAACTTTGACTATATTTTGACCGCTGGGACTTTGTCCTGTAAGATCTGGTACTGCAATTAAATATCTACAGTTCTGAAGGAGGACTTCTGTCTAATGAACTATGACATATGATGATTGTTTTGGCACCTGGTTGGAAATTAGCCTCAGCAATGCTACAGTTCGTAAAAAAGCATGGCTGTACATTATTTCAATGTCAGGTTTCATATTACATCTAATTTGGTATCTGTAGGATATAAATTATAGTTCTGTGGTTGATATTATGACTGCTCAGTAACACTATATATCCTCATTGGTCACTTTGTTCGGGACAACAGTTCAACTGCTTGCTAGCATAAATATCTAATCAACCAACCACATGTTGGCAACTTTAAGTGTTTAGGCTGATAGGCGTGGTTGAAACAACCTGCTGAACTTCAAGTCCAGCATCAGAGTAAGGCAGAAAGGGAATTTAATGAGTCTGAACGTGGATCAGACAGACTGGTTTCCCCTGTCTTCACTGCAGCTCGTCCACAGTTAGCTAAGAATCAGACAACAGTAAATACTTAGCTAAAAACTGAGTATTGTAAAAAACATGTAATTTATATAGTTTTTAAAGTATATATAAATTTGAGCATATTTGCATAGTAACAGTATTTTATTTCCAGTATTTGTTTTTGTTTGTTTTCCAAGTTATAGGAAAAAGTTTCTCTGGGAGACAGCTGCTTCTGAGGCTAAATGTGCTACACTTCCAAATTAATGGTTGCATTTGTCATCTTTCTTTTTTCACTTCTCTGGGTTTTATTTTTATACAAAATATAAAATGAACACAAATAATAGCGTTCTCATTTCTATATACCTGTTGACTATTTTGGAGTAGCAGCTAGGCAATACTTACACTCAAAGTCTAGCTGGTAGAGCTGTTTGTTCACTGACTGTTTTGAATGTGTCCATCTGGTTCATTAAAAATGTCAAGCCTACAAAGAGTTTATAACACTGAAAAACTAAGGCTTACGCCATTAGTTCAAGGGAAAAGCTAGCATCCCTGCCAGCTAATAATTCACAAGCACGGTCATTATATTGTGGGGTAGATTATTATTATACTGGGTCATGCTAAAAACATTAAATGAGATTTTATTTGTTCAAATGCAGTCCTTGGACTTTGAAGGAGTATTAGGGCCACATTAAGAAAAAAACATGTTATTATTCATTTTGAGAATAAAGTCAAAGTAACAATTTGAAAATCATTACAATGTTTTATTAGATGGGTTAGTTAAATCGTACTTTAGAATTGCTTTTAGTACAAATAAATTCTTTCTTTTTTAGCACATAAACACTGTGTGGTGACAAATATAAGGACAGAAAGATGCATATAGTCAGTAGGAAAGACCACAGAAATTTGGCCAGATTTGCGCAAAATGAAACAATGAAATGAAACATCAATGGGCAGATTACTAATGGTCACATTATGATTTACAACAAGACACAAAAAGACAGCTGATCATGCTGTTTCTACACAGGCATTTAGTAGACAGCATAAACGCTGTGGCAGTTATTTGACTTGAAACGACAAATTTCATCTCCACATTCTGAATTTACTCTGAGAGTTTAATCTCAAAATGAACAATAATATTTTTCTTTTAATGTTGCTGTAACATTTCATTGTACTGGACACTTTTAGAGAAAAACTAACAATAACTGCCAACATACAACAAAACAGTCGGATGAATATTCTATTGTATTATCCCACTAGCGAGTTGGAATTAATCCACTTGTATGAAACGACTGTGGAACATTTTAATATTCTCTCTCACAGTTACAAATTAGTTAACATTCATACACAGTGGCAAAAATGTTAAGAGAAGAAAGACTAAAAGTCACCAGTAGCCCTCACACTCATCATCAAATACCCCACTTGCTTCTTAATTACCACTGGCTGCTGTTTAGTTAGCATATTACCCATGGGTCCACTCAGAGGTCCCTGAACAGAATTATGGAGGGCAGAGGGTGATGGTAAGAGAGGGCGAGGATTAAGTGAGATTGATGTAATTAGCCTTTATCCCCCACAGTGTGAAGTTAAGAGGACAGCCCAAAGAACTGGTCCTTCAATTTCCCCAGATTTATTAGAGCACAGATGCAAAATGAGAGTCAAGTTAAAAACAAGAGCAAATCTCAGTGATATCTGGATACTGATATCAACCTCAGTGAGCCTCTTTTTCAAGTTACTCAGTCAGTCAGTAGGCCAGTCTAAAATTCTTAAGCAGTCAACACAACTAGTCATCGTTATCCATGTGTCTTCGTTCAGCGGTAGGTTTGAAGGCTCCCTAAATGCTGTTTCATAGATTGAATTAAACACATAAAGAAACATTCATCACTTCCACAAGTTAAATCAAACAAAAATGAACATGTCTGTAATATTTAACATAAAAAGCTTCCAGGACATGAGAGATTACACCTGCTAAGCTTCTGTTAGGCTCCTCTGATTTCATTTTCAAAAGCTTCATTTACAAAAATAATGAACACAATCATTTTGTGAGAACTAAATTGAAATTAGCGATGTGGAAATATACATGACTTTTAATTTATCTCGACTGCTGGGTGATATTAAAGAACAGCTGGGCACACTATAGCTCAAACAACAGCTACAGAAAACTGAAACAGAAGCAAAACACACAAAACCTCTGACTAATTTTCTCTGGAAAAATGGTAAATTAGGAAACGGGTAAGGGACAAGCACATGTATAAAAATATAAAATAATAAAAGAAGTAATGTAAGATGAAGTTTGAGGCATAAGAAAACACCATGGGCAGGTTAAGGACGTGTGCCTCTGTGGGTTGTGGTATACCTCGTGCTATCCTGAGCACCCTCATGATCCTGATGATGGTGGGGTTGATGGGGAGCGAGGCATTGATCTCAATCTCTTCCAGGGTGATGCCCATCACTGACAACAGCACAATGGCCAAATCCAACTGGTTCCACCTACACACACAGACACGCACAGCGACTTTTCAACATACCGGAAAAATACCGAACCCGACGGAATATAATGTGAGTCTTAAAAAAAGGAGAACGAGGATGAATTGCTCAGGATTTCATGACTGCACACATCATGGTCGGTGTCATGTTAATTTCCCAATGAATATTAATGTTCTACATCACATTTGTGCATAATTGGCCTTACTCTCGCACAACTGACTTGGCAGAAGAATTGGTAACAGCTCACCATTACCCTAAGGCCTGCTCCAGCTATGAATATTTATAATAATAGTAGGATAAGAGTTTGAATACAATGCAAACTTGGACAAAGAAACAATATCTGCTGAGTGATTTATGTAGCCTGTTGTCATTTTATTGGTCAAAAAAAGAGTTACTAAATGGCTCATGTGGGAGAATTCATGAATGTAAAGTTAAATAAATAATGTGGATTTTGATATTTTTGTCAAAGTTTTGATGCAAACTTCATATTGTAATGCTAATTCTGAAACAAGCATCGCATAATCTCATCAGACAACAAACATAAAGAGGACATTCTTCAGTTATATTGTTGTTGAGTAGCTATATTATGAAAGAACCTTTAAAACCCTTATATATGAAAGAGACCTGACCTTTCTTACTTTAAATGACATGTGCACTTCCTTAAATATACATTCCCCCCTTATTTTTTTTTAAATGTAGCAACGTTTCCTTCACTTTTCACTCGGGTTACAGCAAAATTATTGCCCGGGGGAATGTTTCCCCACTGCGTTTCACGCTAGACAATATCTTAGTGCCGGAACAACAAGAAGTGGCACACAGACAGACTCACACAGTGTAAACACACTCAAAACAGGGTTGCCTAATAAACCCAGGGGTTTCCAAAAAGACACACAAGGGTGAAGACAGAAAAAGACAAAGGTGCTGCAAAAGAAGAGAGAGGAAGGACATAGAGAAAGAGAGCCATGAAATGTAATGCACACTAGAAGAAATACCGTGACTAACTAAAACTGAGACACATAGAAAGATGGACATTCAAATAGGTCGGAAGAAGTAATTTTGAAAGCAAGAGGGGCAGAAATAACCAATAGCAATTTTCTCCAGCACAGTTCTTGAAATGGATCGGAAGCAGCAATAATAAATCTACATAGTAGGGTCGAATAATATTCGCCAACACTCTCACAGCTGCTCCACGGTCTTGTATACGTAACTGAGAGAAGAGCCCTGCAGGATTGCTATGATGCTGGGTGAAGATATGGAAATGAGTTAAAAATTCAAGACTTTCTGCACCTGCACAGTTGGATCGTGTTTTTAAATTAAACATTCACCATATAATTGACCGATGACATCATCAAAAACTTGTGTAAAAGGGGCTTGGATCTTATTCTCTTTACACAGTGCTGGCATAGTCGGTTGGTTATATTTAAACAACACATTTTTGTCACCATCCATCTGTCCATAGATCTAACCAGGTCTCTTAGCAACTTCATAGTGTATGCTGTTAATATACTAGCAGGCTCACCGACACTGCATTCTCACACAGGAAATACCTGCCAATGATATCTAAAGCAGGATTTAGCTCTTTGTGGTTCTAATTAGGCACAAAAGCCTGAAGAGAAAATAAACAACCTGAACAGAAGTGCAGAACTTGAAACGTGTGGAATAAGAAAGCAAGCATTCTCTAAAAATGGTCTTCTTCACCTTTTTTGAGATTGCATATTATGCTCTTTGTATGATACCTGTTACAGTCCCTATTTTCATTCACTGTAGGCTGTTTTTTTGTGGATTGACAATTTCTGGCAAAAGTTAGTGCCAAACATAAACAATCTTTCTTAAAGGTACAATGTATAAAATTTCCACTACTAGATGTCAGTAGATAGCAGTAAACTGAGTTCTGTGTTCCAAATTCAAGTGTATATTCCTGTAGGAAAAACATGTTTTTGTGAGAGCAAAAACATTCAATTTGTACTCATAATGACCACAGCTGGCATGTTTCTGCAACTGTTTGGACCTGATTCTCCCCAGAGTTTCAGTAGAGTGCTGTGAGTCCACCGTTTACCTCAGCTGTCAATGCTGGAGCTGAGAAATGTCCACTTTTATTTACTCTCAAACAGGGTGTAAAACTTTGTGAAAGGAGTCTGATCTGAGTCAATGAGTCAAAGAAGCCGACTTGTGGCCAATGACAGACATACTGAGGTGAGTTCCTGAGGATATGCAGAACGTTTCTGTCTGTTTCTGCTTCTGTTAGCCACTGTTAGCTGGGGTTTGTTGGGTCTGTGTTTCCACAAGCCCCGCTAGTTTAGAGACTTATTCATCATGAAGACATCAAGACATAACAGAACATCTACAACCGGTTTTTCACTCGCTAACGAGGAAAGTTTTTGGTCAAGAACCAGCTCTTGGAGCTCACGCTCCTAACCTGTCTCATGCCCAAAATCCCCCCAAGAGCAGCTTCCCTCGCAGCTATTTATTGACAAACTGTTACAATACACGTCACAGCACGAGCACCTCCCTCTGTAAAACCCCCAGTGGTTCTAAGACAAGGCACTGTGTGTGTGTGTGTATGTGTAAGCACGTATATGCATGTGCAAGAATGTGTGTGTGTGTGACCTCCTGCTGACCAAAAGGGTCATAAAAGCAGGAAGCTTACAACAGAAGAAACAGATCTTGCAGATAGGATGTATGTACAATAAATCCTCCCCCAGCACAGAGTGGCTGGAGAGGTGGTCAGGATCAAAGGGATGTCTTGATCCTATAGATTGAACTCAGACTTACAAATTTAAGAAGCCCAATGACAACATTCAACAATTAGACTTAACAGGGTTAGCTGCTATTAGCAGGTGTTGGTGAAACTGTCTGACTTGTTGAACTCTTGAGACACTTACGTGAATAAATATGATGCGAGAACGTAATGAAAATGTATGTCAGAGAGAAAGCGTAATTTTTAGGACACTAACAACAGCTGGTAGCTGTACGGAGACAGGAGTGTTGCATATCTAATTTGCAGACAATAACTGACTGCAACAATATTGGGAATAAATAAGCATGTTTGTCTGACTTGAGAGGAGGAAGAGGATGATATTTGATGAAGTTGCTGGTAACGTTGTCTCTTTCCTTCACGTGTTAGTTCCTCTGCAGATAAAACATAGGTATGATGCTTCATATCTTGAGTCGGAAGTTGCAGACACAAATTAAAATGTCGCTCCATCGCATGCAAACACCTATAACTTCTCCTTCCCCTTTGGTGTTTTACATATATAGTCGGTCTCTAGGCAAATACGTAAAACACAATTAGTTGACAGGGAGATGTCCATCACGGCCACTGTAGTCAAACATGGTGGGGGAACACGGCGGCTTTCACTAACGACAAATCTGGTTCTATGTACATTTAATAGATGATTCAATTTATAAGAAGGTATAGGAGTGCTGGAAGACATAATCACAAAGTAATCTGCGTGTGTAAGTTTTGCCCTTGAATCTGTGATCTTGTATTTTTTTCCTGTCGTCTCTCAGAGCTTAGCTGGCCACAGCAAGCAGCTGCGTCTCTATTAGGAAGAAATATAAGAGATAAGGCCGTGGTATATAATACCAGAATATGGACTGTACAAGGATTAACTTGCTGCTGGTGCTATAGTATAACATAACAGATTTTATCAGTTTTGCATGCTTCAAAGATTTAGTGCAGCCGGGACTGTACCTGTCCTTGAAGAAGCGCCGAAAGCCAAAAGCTACCAGTTTGAGAGAGGCCTCGATCACGAACGTGGACGTGAAGAAGTAGTTGCAGTACTTTAATGCAGTCTCCAGAGACTGGGAGTAAGAGAGGTGAAAGATGGACAGAGAGGTTAGAACTGAGACAACAACAGCAGACAGTTAATATCACCTCTCCCGTGACCTATTACAAGCACATTTGTTATCTTTTTTCACGCCAGTAAAATGGTCTTTTTATCAGTTCACTGAAGAATGAAGCAAATAACACAGCAAGTTATGAGAATTGTTGTTCAGTGAATCCGTTTTGCCAGAGTCAGCAACATTTGCACTTGCCAACAAATTTCTTTTAATAGAGGAGAGCTTAATTGAGACAGACAGCTAAATTATGTCACACTCTAGGGAGAAACAGAGAGCATTTTTTCTACTACGCTGGTATTAATGAGTCAGACAAAAAAAGGGCTACACAAGTCAAACATTTGTAATGTTCAGTGCACATAATTAAACCAGATTATCCACAACAAGTCTAATTACATATTAACAAAGCGTGTGTTGAGAGGTAGTAGAAATTTGCCATTTTCAAACAGATGTTTGGACTTTAACTGCATAACGATGCTATTTTAAATGATCTTTGTAGATTTTTGACTTATGGTAAAATACTTTTAGTACTAGTTTTGAAGCTGAGACCAAACAGAGAGTGAGTTGGTCATTGTGCATGCCTTCATGCTGACAATTGGTTGCTAGAGGATGTTTCTGGTTGTCTAGGTAACGTATTTTCAGGGCAGATGATTTCCTGTCCTCTCATTGGTGGTTGCTTCAATCAATTGCGTTGAAGTTGAGAGAAGTTTAATTCAGAACCTCCTTTATTTATTTTTTTTACCCATAAGTCATTTGAAATCAGCGAATGCTATTGGCCATCTACCCTCTCTGGTCGCCACAGTGCTACAAAATCACAGCTTAAAACACACAGATAATCAAGACCAGAAAATACCTGAAGGATTTCCAGAATTAGTCGTGTTAATCTATAAGGTTAAGCATTTTAGGATGTCTAAGGAACTTGGAAAGAAAAGCGTCTGGATTTCTTGAAATTTCTTCTCATCTGAGAAGCTTCTTCAGTTTTAAGAGCAACTGGTGGAGAGTCACAGATTTTAAGCCCTATGGGACTGTCCCCAAAGAGGGTCGCTACACTGTACAGCTTCTCGGATGAGAGGTGAAATGTCTTCAAGAAACTTAAAGAAGTCGAGACCTTTCTTTGCAAGCTCCTTAGACTATGATGACCTGGATGATGAAAAAGTGGCTGGGGAGTTTCTTCCCTGTTTTCTGTTTTTATACCAGGCAAAACTAACTGTCCATAGCTTTATAGGACTAGGAACAATTTTGTTTGTTCAGGTTCAGATAAAGGAAAAAAATAACCGTTATAACTTATTTTATAATATAGATCTTTTTCAAAATGTGTTTTTGTCAGGTTACTTTACTGTTAAAGCTCTTACAAAACCATTCATTGTTACAGCAGTTCTGCTCTGAAGACAAAAATGTAATTATTTTCATTGTTAAACGAGTTAAGTCAAAGGCCAGTGTTTTTAACTTTTCCACTTTAAGCAGCCTTTATAATACCATTTCAGCTACATTTCTTTCCTTTATTCCCAAAGGGCTTCAGTCAAGTGTTATGTAGCCATAAACCCTGCAGTTCTTTGACGATAGCCTCGCATGTGTGGGCGATAGCCTTTGGATGTCAATGGCAATTCACACAGTCAACTGAAAATAATGAGCTCCGTGGGCTGTCTGTGTACAGCTATGTAAGTGGCTAATACCTTATATGTTTGCCACAATTGTCTCTCAAGATAAGAACATTTTCAGCTCAACACTGAGACCGAACACCACGACAAGTCGTATACAGCCTACATGCCACAGGTCAGAAATGTGAGAGGAAACAGTGGGGGCAACACCACAGGGAAAGATCCTGACTGATTTGAGTGGGTTGCTCTGGTAGTTTCATTTCCTCCTTAGTGATCATATGTTAAACCATTTGATTATGCTATTTCATTAGGGTAGCAAGAACATGGCATAAAAAAGTCAACTGTTACCATCCATTTAACACGTGAAGAGCCTTTTCTTACTTTTTTTATATTCCAGCACTTCAAGATATGCTTTAGTTTTTGGCAGTATTTATTGCTGATTCAGAGCAGCGGGCTGGCCACTTCCCTCAGAAAATGGCAACTTTTAACCATCAACACCTACTCAGAAGCTTTTGATGAGACTGAGAAAGAAACAGCAGATTTGTTCAAAACATCGCTCTATCCTCCTCAAGCAAGGCTGTCACCTGTGGTTGGTCGTAGTGCTCCAGAGACATGGTGATGACATTAATGCAGATAATGAAGGTGATGACCAGATCCAGGTAGTGGCTGGTGCACAGAGCATGGATAGCCAGGCGTGTAGGACCATAAGATGCATAGTAGGGCAGCTTCTGTGCCTCTGGATAGAGGAAGAAAAAAAAAAATAAGACAATTAGGGTTTAGGGTCAATGAATGAGAAGGAAAAATGACAGAAGGAAAACAAAATGGGAGTGAAAGACAAATTAGAAAAATGTAGAATAAAACAAATGACCAAAAAATGACAAAATACCAAAAAAGAAAATATACAGACAAAAATTTTTCATTAGACAAACAGTGAATAAAAGCTGTACACTCAGTCTTGAGTTACGCCTTCTTCATACTTTGCTTCCAAGAATCTAGGCTATATTTGTAAGTGGTTATGAGGCTTTCTTCAGGCTGAGGATCTTTTATTTGGACATTGGCTGCTTTTTCACTCATTTATAGTACAGTACTAGTTTTGGGTTTTTTTTTCTTTTTGTCGAGCCGCTTAACGCTGACCTATAAATGATTCAAGCATAAAACAGACACCTACCTCAAAGACTGCGGAATATTGCATCTACATATAACATAAACTGAGAACCCATTTTAAAATGTACCTTTAGAAACTTTGTTACAAGCAACCTGTCAGAAAAACATTAATTTGATCCAATCCAGCCAAGACCTGACACAAGACATAAGATCTACTTGCCAAAGTTACCAAAGTCCCATCAGAAATGGTCTCAATGGTGGACTGGCTGTCAAGAAGTTACTTTTAAGGAGGGGAAACGGGGAGAAAATGTCTGAGGCATGCTAAATTACACAAGAACTGGAACACAAATAAGTGGCAACAGCTCTTCTAGAGTGAAGAATCCAAATTTGAAACCTTTGGTTCAAATTGTTGTTGTCAGTATATACGTTGTTCCACCACGCAATGCTATCTGGAAGGTTCCTGTTTACCAATGGCTTAAATTTTCAGGAAGTGGTGCCAAACATACTGCTATAATGCTGGATAGAAAGAAAAAAATAGAACACTATCAGTCATGGATTGGCCTCCTCAGAGCCCAGACCCCAACATTATTAAAGCAGTGTGGGACCATCTTAAGGTCTACCGGTTTTGCGCAATTGGTGTGGATGGTCAGGGGGCAACAGCCTAGGTTTGACTTCTGAGGCCCTGAGACCAAATAAAAGTTTTTAAAGTCTACTACAAGAAAGTACAAGAAGGCTTGCGTAAGAAAGTTTAGGCATTGTGGACGAATAAAGACAGTCCTACCAAATATTGACTTTCAAGCATGTTAGAATTGCACAAACTCTTTTTTTGCCTCATATAATGTATTTCCATCTATGTTTGCAGATGATTTTGCTAAATCACTATGTCTATTTCCCAGTTTCCTAACAAAATATAGAGAAATAAAGTCGACTCAAGGCTTTTACACAGTAGTGAATTTATTCCAAAAGAGGGAAAGAATAATGACGCTCAGAGCAGCTGAAGAAAAGTCAGACACTGAGATAAACTCTGTGCTTATATAAAGAGAGAATTTGATAAATGTGTGAGAGAGGTTAAGTAGCTTTAAATGAGTTGAAAAAATGACTCATTCAACGTCATATTATCATGTGTAATATAAAAGATCAAATTAGAAGTCTTGGGCATATGCCACGTGGATTTTACCCAAGGAGTGGAGACTTTAAAAGATTGCATCTATTAAGTTAAACATATACTGTATATAAGATTTCTGAAACTGGAAGTATGAGAGAAGAGGTGAGCATTTTTTATATAATAGACTGTATACCGTTTGCATCTCTTTGCTAGATTTTCTCTTTATTCTTCTGTACACTCAGTCTTTGTTCCTCTCCCAATAGATTTTTGGATCTCATCAGTCCTCCTCCTTCCATGTATGTTTTTTTTCAACATGACTTGATTTTTTAAAACCGTCCTTTTTTACTTTCTTTTTTATTTCGTTAAATTTTCCGTCTCATCTTTCTGCTTTTCTTTATTAATTATTTTCCCCTCAATCTTTACAGTGCTTCAGGCACTCAGCTCCCTCCCAACTCCTGCGTATCCCACGTTCACCCTTCAGCTTCTTCCTGTTCTCTGGATCTTACTTCTCCTTTTCTTCTCCATGCGACGCTGGCGTTTCTCCTCACGTCTTCTGGCCTCCTCCACCTCCTGGTGCTGCCGACATTTGTGGAAGTTCTCCACGACCACACCCACAAACATGTTAAGGACGAAGAAGCTGACAATCAGCAAAAAGGAGATGAAGTAGAGCAGCATCCATGGGTTGTTGTTGATCATCGGCTAGAGGACACAGGGAAATGTAACATTAAAAAAAGGTAGATAAAAATAGGAAAACATAAATAATCCATGGGTGAGCTCAAAGTACCTACTTCCAGCCACCTCTGAGCAGCCTCATTTTAATCTCAATAAAAAAAAATACTATGAATGGAAAGTTTAAAGCCCTTTTCACAGATGTACTCAAACTTTTCTGACTTTTTTCTTTCCTTTTGAGTTTGTGTGATGCGTTGATGGGCAAAACGCTCAGCTAATAATCTGGTGCATTCACCTTTATCAAGTAGGGGTCTTGTGTGTCACCAGACAGTTTCTTAAATCACTACATAAAGCTTACAGCAGTATTCAATACAGACTATTTCCTGCTATGTGCTTTATGTGACCTGATTAACATCTGAAAATGGAAAGGTTAGTTGTTGATGTCCAGCGGCCCGGTTGTTTTAGCTGGTATGTACATGAAATATGGTGATCGCTGAGAATCACTTCCAGGACAAGTTTGACACTGTTCTAAATGTTTAGGGTTACACATCTATTCAACTCGTTTTAATAATAATAATAATAATGATAAATTTTATTTATGAGCGCCTTTCAAGTCACCCAAGGACACTTTACAATAGGATAAAACACTTAGTAAAACAATGGCAGAATAAGAACAATAAAATACAAGCACAAGATAAAATGAACAAACAGTGGATTCACAGTGAATATGCAGATTTGAACAGATGAGTTTTGAGTTGGGATTTAAACTGGGGGAGAGAACCAATATTTCTTATTTCAGGGGGCAGAGAGTTCCACAGCCTGGGAGCAGAGCCGCTGAAAGCTCTGCTTCCCATGGTGGTGAGGCGGAAGGAAGGTACAGTAAGCTGGACAGAAGAAGAAGAACGAAGTGAACAGGCAGAACAAGTGGTGGTTAACAGGTCAGAAAGGTAAGAAGGAGCGAGGTTATGAATGGCCTTGAAGGTGAGCAGAAGAAGTTTGAAAATTATCCGGAATTTCACAGGGAGCCAGTGAAGTTCCTGAAGAACAGGGGTGATGTGCTGGTAGGAGGGGGTTCTGGTGATAATGCGAGCAGCAGAGTTCTGAACCAGTTGAAGCTTATGGAGGGATTTTTGGGGGAGACCATGCAGAAGAGAATTGCAGTAGTCAATACGGGAGGTAACAAGACTATGTACAAGAATGGACGTAGACTGGGTGGAAAGAGAAGGAACCAATCTGTTAATGTTACGTAGATGGAAGTAGGCAGAACGGGTGAGATTATTGATGTGAGATTTATAGGAAAGTGAACTGTCTAGGATGACACCAAGGCTCTTAACCTGAGGAGAAGGGAAAACTGTGGAGTTATCGATGGTGAGTGAGAAATGGTTTGCCTTCAAAAGGTTGGATTTGGTGCCAATAAGGAGGATCTCAGTTTTATCCTCATTGAGCTTTAGAAAATTAGAGGTAAACCAGGATTTTAACTCGGATAGACATTCTGTAAGGGAAGAAGGTGGGAGGGAGGAATCAGGTTTGCAAGAGAGATATAACTGGGTGTCATCAGCAAAACAGTGAAACTGAAGATCAAATTTGCGGAAGATGGTATCTAGAGGGAGGATGTATATTATAAAGAGAAGAGGGCCTAAAACTGAGCCTTGGGGTACACCAGAGGTGACGGGGAATAGACGAGAGCGGAATGATCTTAGTTGAATAAACTGGGAGCGGTCGAGGAGATATGATTGAAAACAGATGAGGGGTGTGTCAGAGATGCCGAGAGAGGAAAGTCTGCTTAGAAGGACAGAGTGAGAAATGGTGTCAAAGGCTGAGCTCAGATCTAAAAGGACGAGAATGGTGAGAAGACCAGAGTCAGCTCCGATTAGAAGATCGTTAGTGACTTTAAGTAGAGCAGTTTCGGTACTGTGACATGAGCGAAAACCAGATTGAAATCTCTTTTTTGAGAGAAAAGAATACATCTGACACTCTGTGTCCATATTCAGTACAGTTTGAAAATCTGGGGACTGTCAGCAATCTCAAAGGATGACAGTAAACAGAGGAATAGGCAGAGAATGGAGACAACGTGGGTTGATTGGATGTGGAGGTAGTTTTTGGGAGAGAGTCATTAGAAAACAAAACAAAAAATAAAGAAAAAAAACTCTGAAGTTCAGTGACAATAAAGCTGGAGATGAGAGTCAGATTTTCAATTTGGGGGAGCGCTGAGAGCTGAAAGCACTGGGTGGAGTGTAAATGGGATTAGTCATTCAGAGCCATGTTGGACTGCAGTGAGGGTTCTCCCTGAGGCGAGGAAACTGAATCATCCAGAATAATGCCCACTCTTTTTAATAGATTCTCTAATAGATTTTCAAATAAACCAATTCTACAAGGAACGTGTTCACTTTGTAGCCACTATAGAAGACTAATTTGCATCACGTTATTGGATGGTGTTGTCGTCTGTGTATATTATTTGTGGGGTTAAGGAGACAGTAAGCAGCGTGTTCTCCAATTTAGGAAGCAAAGATACATTTTTAAGATCGTGACTGGCCTCAGGTGTGATTGTTTATTAGAACGTTTTAGCTTCCATTAGATAACTATAGTATCTCTGATAGAGCATTCAAGCAAAGCTCCTAATTTCACATTCCAATTATAGCTCAACTCTCACCTTCAATCATAATTTTAAAGTCTTATGTGAAACTAGTTATGAACAACATTCAGCTCACATAACATTCATTGGAGGGAGTGTGGGTTAATTAAATAAAAAAAAAAGGGTATTTGCATTATAGCAAAGACACAGGCAGTGAACTTAAAAACAGCATAATAGGGACATTGGAGTAAAGCTCTTCAAATAAAATATACTAACAAAGGGATCTCAGAGGACTGGGCCGTCACATTTAACCGTTTCATGCATGACAACCTCAATCTGGTTAGTATTTTTATTCATCTTTAAGCATGAAAAAAGATTTTTGAACTTCATTTTTTTTAAACATGTACTTCTTAAAGAGTTTGTTACATGTCGACTTAGGTGGACATCATACGTTTTGACTTATGAATTTGGTATGGAGTGACACATCAGTGTCCAATGTAGTGGTTTATGTGCAGGTATATCATCAACACTGACACAAATACAAGAAAGCAGCCTTTGAACAGCTGTCCACTGTAGTGACCACTATGTGTGAAAGGGTTAAATGTGATTCCAATGATAAAATCCAGAAGGAGAAGGTAATGTAGAAGGTGCTGCTCCTACAGGAAACATTTGTAGTATTGCAATGATATGAACAGACGACACTAAGACACGTCCCTGTGGAGGAGATCTGGGAACATCCAACTGGGTTGAATATTCAGAAGACCAGAAGGAGGAATTTTATATCCCATCTGTTAAAGAAATGTGGGATTCCCTCAAAGAGGTTTGAGTATGTAGATGGAGATTTAGGCAGGCATGTGGGCCACTCTGCTTAGTTTACTACCACTGAACAGTGAACCTGACTGACTGACTGAATGACTGACAGACAGACAGATAGATAGACAGAAAAAGCTTTTAAGTATCTGGATATAAAACAATGAATGTGATCATTCGCATTAGGTAAATACAATGTCAGGTGAACTGCAAAACCTGATATATTATACCATATGTATGTCAATACAAGTGAAATAAAAGTATTTCAAAATGCTGAAACAAGCACAGCTTTTCTGCTTCCACAGGAATTAAGATGATAAGTAGCAGCAAGATGCTGCAAATCAAACACATCTAACTGATCATCATTAGGTGTGAGAAGAGTGTAGACTTTCTTTTTACTATAACCACAAGCATGAGCATAGGTATTTACGGTAATATTATTTATTACCTGCTGGTCAATTCCCACTGCATCTAGTCCATGGTACATGATGTTGACCCAGCCATCTTTTGATGCCAGCACAAACAGGGACATAAGAGCCTGAAAGGGACACAAGCAACAGCATGAATAAACAAAGCAGGGGTCTCCAACTCCAGTCCTCGAGAGCTACTGTCCTGCAGCTTTTAGATGTATCCTTGATCCAATGCACCTGAATCAAATGAATGGCTTGTTACCAGGCCTTTGCCAAACTTCATCGCATTCATGATTCAATCATTTGATTCACTGTGTTGGACTGGGGATGCATCTCAAAGCTGCAGGACCGTAGCTCTCGAGGACTGGAGTTGGAGACCCCTGATTTAGACCCATCCAAACAAAACGCTAATAGTATAATGGGCTAAATCTAACAGCTGGCATTTATTAAAAAAAAAAAAGACAAAGAAAAGATGTTAGTAGATCAAACCACAGACATGAAGCAAAGTACTTTAATCGCCTAGTGCTCAGAGCAACAAACATGAACTGCTATTATGTAATAGACATCAGTGGTACAATATTAAAAACATTAATTAGCATTGTCAGCCGTGTGAGTCCTTCCTCTGTTATTCTCCACCTCTTTTTGTTGTACGATGGGATGTTGTAGCTAACTGAAAACCATCTCTTCTATTGTGGGCAAAAGGCACTTTACATTTCTTTTTTCGCATTCATGAATCAAACTGTCGCTTTTTCTCCAGCTTTAAGACCATTTAAAGGATCGACAGCATAGTACAGTGTCTCTGTGTGCGGTGTAGTTTGTGTGTACTTCTAGGGTAATATGTGGGAAACAGCCCTGCCAGGATGCCAAGCATACACTGTATTCTATCTCGTACCTGTCCAAGGTTGTCAAAGTTGTATTTGTGGTGAACCCATCGATAGTTGGCAGCCAGGCAGTCAGATTTATTGGTGATATTCTTCACATCGAGACCCACACAGTAGTAGAACTTTCCTTTGAAAAGCTTTGAAGGAAAACAGACACAGGCAGAGGCACATGAAGATAAATCACGACAGAGCAGTGAAAAAAAAACCTTCTCTGCATAGCCACTTCTTTCACTCGGTTTTTGAAGTCATTTCACAATTAGTGTTTGTAACTAGTGCATACATGGAGCTTTATTGAAGACTCCACGAGCGCTTGATATCAACAGTGTGGTTTTCCTCCCGAGAAAAGACGTTTTTAACTCTCACTCACACTGAACATCAAAGAGGGATGTGGGTAAAAGAATGCATAACAGCAGATGCAGAGAGAATGACATGAAATGAAGTGTGCAATAGCAGGGTGGGATTGACAACCAGGTGCAAAAGAAAATATGAAAATATAAAGGAGCCAGCTGTACATTTTCCATACTTGCAAACTTGCTTGTAGAGTTAAAAAGATAAACTAGATTTTGTGATGATATTCCCTTACTGATTTTTAAAAAAAAAGCAAGGCAGAAGATGTTAGGTGGAGGGCAACTTGGACTTGGACACGAATATGTTTACCTGAACACCAAGGATGCCAAAGATGATGAAAAAGGCACAGCAGATGAGGACAATGTTGCCGATGGGCTTGAGGGACGTGATTAGGGTCTCGACCACCAGCTTCAGTCCTGGAGCTCTGCTGATCACCCTGTAGGACAAACAGGTGGAGAGGGATGGAAAGATGAAGAAAGAAGGAAGAAAAAAAACGACACACAGCATCTTTTAGAAGCGAAAGTAAAAAGAAAAAGAACAACGTGACTGCAGAGCTTTTGTCTAAAACACTGCGGTCATTTCAGTCACTTTTCTTTATGCTGGCATCCCAAAAACTGCCAATAATCTATTTTGTTATCTCAAGAAAACAGATTAATTTAACTCGCCAGCTGACAAAAGAAAATTAAAATAAGAATAAACGTCTGATTTCTCAAGATCATTTCTCCCAAGGAGATAATTTCGGTTTTCAGGATCCGGGGATAATTATGGAGAAGCCATTAACGTCTTAGTCTGTTTATCTGGTTATCCATGAAGCTATCCAACAGTTTCACTGAGATGCTGCCATTAATCTGACATTCTAGCAAACATCAGCTGCTGAAGTTGATTCCTGCACTGTGCAGCTGGAGGGTGGGGTGGGGGGTCACCACTTTTCCATGTTCAGAATTACAGATCCATTTATAAAACACTTGACTTCACTTTTATTTATCATCCTTCCTAATATATGAATCTGCGCGGAGGTGTGGAGAGCAGTCAGAGAGAGACACTTTATTTCAGTAGAACAGTAGAACACTTTACTGCTGATAGGGGGAGGCCGTTTCATTAATCCACTGTCCTGTGTGAGAATGACTGCACCTGTGTTGTCCAGAGTGCTACGGCTGATACATTAACTGTTTTATGGTTCGCAAATATGAGCAAGTTCAGAAGGAACTGAATTCATGCCAAATCTTCTCTCTCTCTCTCTCATATATATTAGTGCTGTCAATAGATTAAAAAAATTAACTAAAATCTTTCAATTTTCTGTAATTAATCGCAATTCTTATATAGCGCTTTTCTACTCTATCTGAGCACTCAAAGTGCTTTATACAACTAATTCATTCACCCAATCACACAAGTACTTTTCTAAACTTTTTAGTCTAACTGTTAGTAGCTGATCTGCTCTACCACCTGAGCTACAGCCCCCCCACCCCCATTTACCTATTCAGCACACATGCTTTGCAATGTGCGCTCGTTTACAGGAACATTTCTGGGATTTTGAGTCATTCTGCACTCCAGGTGCGTTAACGTGTATATCTATCTATATATATATCTATATATCTATCTATCTATATTCATGCCATCGGTTCGGTACGCATATGTATCGAACAATACAAAATTTGTAATTTATTTTATCAACTTTCCTTCTGACGATGCTGTCTGTGTTGAGCGCTCAGTGAATCTGCGTTCGACTACTCCGCCTAGGCTCGACAGTGCAGCCTAGGCGGAGTAGTCGAACGCAGATCCACTGAGCGCTCAACACAGACAGCATCGTCAGAAGGAAGAGCGCAGGGCAAGCTAGCGAGACAGAAGTTAAGCTCACCTTTTAACATGGACCTCCCCCACTCTCATTCAGATCTGGCGTTTGGAATTATTTTGGTTTTCATGTGACGTATGACCCTGAAGGTAAGCGAGTCATGGACTAAAGTAAAACAGTATGTTGGATGTGCCACGCAATGCTCAATTACATGGGTGGGAACTAGTGTGTTAGCGCAGTTAGCTCGTTAACGTGTTGGCCGTCTAGCCCCATGCATGGGGCGATCGGCGGTAGCTCGTTAACGGAGATTTGCCGTGTTGTGGCGTTAAGGTCATTTCAACGAGATTAACCTGAAAGCACTGGTGGGAACACAACGAATATGACTGCACATTTACGCTGACATCATCCTAGTGCAAAGACAAGTGGAAGCAGAAAAAAAACAAGCAAGCATGCTACTAACTTTAGCCGAGTCATTTAGACAGCTGTTAGCACATGATTCTCCTTATGCTGCTGAGAATATAGCCCAGGAGAGGCGGATAGTATAGCTTTTATTTTGGAAAGAGACATTTCTCTGTAATAAACTCTCTTTTCCAAAGATGAGTGATTCCTCAATCAGATACAGGGCTCGCAATATCGCTAGCCCGACGTCCTGGTCCTAGCGATTTTTTCAGTCGGTTTACCAAAATCTATCTCTGCCCTGCCCGTTGGGCTATTGTAGGAAGGAAAAATATATGTCAATGCTTTTGCATTCTTTCAGAAATGTAGCTGGGTAATTATGTCATTGGCATCGGTGAGCCACTGTCAATATGTGACATATTGCAAATCGCGTTTGAATTTGCGCTTGTTTTTTTGCTTTCACTTTGCAATCGTGCTAACTGTGTATAGAGAGCGACAGCACTGATCTGTGAGTGATGATAATTTGTGCACCAATTCCTCTGACATGGTCTTATTAATCGTTAGCTTACTATGCAAACATGACAAGTGAAATCCCCCGCAGCAAGCTTAAACATGTGAGAGGTTGATCACGCAGAGAATCGCTGAGCTTATGTGAGTGGGTGTGTAAAAGCAGCAGGATATATATTTGACTACAATGACCTGGATGACTGAGAACCTTCACAGACAGATATATATTTTAGTTCTGCTGAGCCAAATAAGACAGGTCAGGGTGAAGAAGTGACAGCCAAAGAAAAGCTTACCACAAAACGGAGAAGTTATGACAAATCAGACTATAAGGCAAAAAGAAAGTGCAGCTTTATGGTTTCATGGACAAAAGAATTTCTGTGGCTGCAATATGACGAGCTAAATAACCAGGGCTGCACATAAGTGGTCCGCAGGTGCGCATTCGCTGTCAAAATAAAAAACACGCACAAGGGTTAGGGTTAAATTTAAAAACTGTACTTTTGAGTTAAAATATATATTTATAATTTTAATAAATGACAAATTAAAAAGGCATGAACATTTTTTTTGTATCGAAAAAATATCGAACCGTGACACCAAAGTATCGAACCGAACCGAACCGTGAATTTTGTGTATCGTTGCACCCCTAATATATATATATATATATATATATATATTTTTTTTTTTTTTTTTCATTCATTCCTAGGACTGCGCTCTTCTGGATGGAGATCTCGGATGTTGTTCCTGGGATCTGTTGGAGCCACTCGTCCAGCTTGGGGGTCACTGTTACCTTTACCTTCCACATCTTCTCCAGCTCTTCTCTGGGCCCTTCGTTCTTCTCCAGCTTCTTGTGTTCCTTCTTCCTGATGTTGTTGTCATTCAGTATCGCTACGTCTATCACTACGACCATGTTCTTCTGTTGTGCAGCACTACTATGTCTGGTTAGCCATCACCAATTTGTCCATCTGTATCTGGAAGTCCCAGAGGATCTTAGCTCAGTCATTCTCCACCACCCTTGGAACAACTGGGACTTGATAACCAATCTCAGATGGGGGTGATGATATCTCCCCTCGGACCTGTCGCTCTGAGTCCCCCTTGCTGCAGCATTTGTGTTGTACCTCATATTTTATCAGTTTCTCAGATCACTAATTAGGAATTTTGTCCCACTCTTTTTAAAGCATTTCTCAGTCCTGAGTCTGAGATGTAGCTCTTGTTTTTTTGCAGTTTCTCACACTGCTTCCTCCTGGTGAATCGTTCTTGCAGTAAAATGATGCAAAAGTGCTTGTGTGACTGGGTGATGGAAATGATTCCAAATTGTTTGGAAATGGTCTCACAACCATTCCTAGATACAGTCCCTTTTTATGAACAATGTTGATCAGGTTTAATGTTTCAGGTAAAGCTACCTAATGCTAAGCTAACTAAGCTAAGTGAGTATTATTGATCTTCAGATTGCAAATATTTTCCTAAACTGTCCTTTTCCTTTTTAGAAACCATCCTGATGGGGCATGCAGTGGGGAAATGTGAAAAAATAACTGAAAGTCCTTCAAACCTGAGAGGACGGAGTGTCCTGAGCAACCTGAGCACACGGAGAACCCCGAGGATCTTAGCCCCACCCGCCATGGACACTACGATGTCAATCAGAGACACGAAGACCAAGAAACCATCTAGAATGTTCCAGCTGCTTCTCAGATAGGCAGTTTCCCCCAAATACAGACCCATAGACACCACCTGGGGAGATGAAGGGAGAAATGATGAGGAAATGCAGATGTGAGCAGATGTACACAGGCACACACACTCTTTGATATTCAAATTGCTTACTTAGCTTCTCAAACAGGTATTTCATTTCATATTGGACAGGAGAAGAGACTTAAAAAAATAAAACAGTTGGTTTGTAAGCGAAACTGTGGTTAGAAGGGACACAAGGAAAGAAATAAAAGGCAGTTATTAAAAGAAGACCAGGCAGAAATCATGAGCATACTTCAAAGTGGGAGTAGAATAAAGATTCCATAATGAAAAGAAAACCCTATTTGTTTGTGCCGTTAATCAGCTTTCATGTTGACACCGAATCTTGCTGACCACTGTGACTGGAGCAAAAGTCTATGAATAAAACTCGAGGAAAATAGTTTACAATTTCATTTAGATGTAGAGTAGTCTGCACTGCTGACAGTGCAATGTGCTACTTCAGCAGTCTGGCCAAATCTTCTTATGTCAGGCACTTCCACATTTCGGCTTTACTAACTGCCCGGACACAGAAGCCCAAACATAAAGAAGAGATGTTCGTCGAAATCGAGGTATGAACGTCATGCAGTTGTTTTTTCTGGTTGATTGTTCTATCAACTTCTAGTTACAGCGAGATGGGAACTCACAGTCGTAGGAAAACTCCTGAACTACAAAGAAAGGAAACGAGTGAGGTGGGTGGGGAAGATCAAGAATCTTGTATAAACTGTGGGAAAACTACCAGCTGGTGGAATGAAAGACAGACATAAGGGCAAGTGAAAAGCCCCTGAAGTGGCTCAAAAAGACATTTGGAAAGTTTGGGGGAGAAGAGTTGACTTTCAAAGAAAAGTTGCGTGGCAGATGGGTGTAAGCCACATCATTTGACACCTGTCAAATGCTTTCATGGGATGGAGCAACTTCGGTGTTGCTGTCATTTCACAGCAAAACTTGCGAGACGCAGAAAATATAACTAGAGCCAGATTCTGGAACGCTTTTACATTATATTCTGTATCAAGTAAAGTCTTTCAGGCAGAGCATTTATTTTACTATTTTACTACAATGATCACTGTAGGACAAACAACTCCAGCTGCTTATCTCAGCTGTCATTATGTGTCCACACCACATCAAGTTATCGACGCTTACAAACATTTTTTCTGGTCAGTCGGTGCTGTTTTTGCCACTATTAGCTGTGAGGAATGGGTCACTTTTAAAGCCAGGCTCAAGTGGCTTCACCAGGAGTTTAAATTTCTGGCATTTTTGTGGTGGCATCATTTTCTGCCTCAAAATAAATAAATAAATACGTTTAAAAAAGAAGAAGAAACTTAGTGTCACTCAGGACAAAAAAAAAAGGTAGTTTGACAGTTTTACACCACCAGCCTATCATAGCTGTGTCCAACAAGAATCCTTTTATTATTACTTGTTATTATTATTATTACTTATTACTTGTTATTATTACTTGTTACTTTTACATACACAATATGTAAAAATTGTGTATGTTTCTGTTCTGTGTCTTTGTGTCTTGTGTCCTGTTTGTTTGTATATGTGTCTTTCTTGCTGCTGTTACACCCAAATTTCCCCTTGTGGGACAATTCAAGGATTATTCTATTCTGTTTTGGCTGGAGCGTCACATCAGTACATTACATGCAGCTTCATCTCTTTTTAGTTTATTTTTAGGGCTTTTTCTCACTTTTATAAGACCTGGGCTGCTGGACTTGGCCTTGTGGCATGTGGTCGCCTGCTTAACCACTGAGTGAAACCAGAGCCCTAATTGGCACTTTTAAAATTCACCATTACAAAAACTCAAATGACAGAAACAAAACAAGAAACACACTAAATAAAAATATGGGAAGCCTGTCCTTCAGCTAACGTGGTGTAAATCATGACTGTGAGTATATATTTTGGGGATTAACACAGATGAGATATGTACAGCAACAAGTTGGTCATGTCCTCTGTGCTCGGTCTATGTTAATGCTTTGAGAATTACAAATCAACTGTTATAGTATTAATAGCAGCCAGCAACACGGAGGCCCCCGTGGGACTACTGGAGTGCTGTGGACCTGCCATTAAGCAGATTAAATACGATAATAAAAATGATAGTAGGTCTATTGTCAAAGCATACTTGTCTCCTCTCACAGCTGTTATCCAGCTCACAGCTTTACAGTAAATTCATTTCTTATTTACACTCAAATTCCAATTGAAATTTAGCTGAAAACGCTGTAATTGTTGCTACAGCGTTTTTTAAATGGATTGTTTAAAAAGGAAGCTCTGATTACACCTACAGGAGCTGCTCACACACAGAAACCCAGGTCATGAAGCCCCAAGTGCACATTTTCTGTGCTGACACTCACAGAATCAGAAACCCTTTAAACAGAGCCGGTCTGGAGTTTCAGTACTGGGGTAACTGGGATCTAACAGCTGTATTAGCCTGTCATGGATTTGCGCCTCAGTAAAAACACAAAATACTTTAACACAATACTTTAACCATAATGATAAGCTGAGCATAGTTTTAGTACACTATTTCCCACTTTAGCCTTCCCACACTACAAACCAGCTCCTCCCTGAGTGTTTGACAGAGACACTGCTGCCTGCTCTGTTCTCGCGCTCTCTTAGGCTTTCTACAAGTGTACGTGAAACAATGAGGAGTTCCCCAGAGCCATCTCCCTTCAAATTGAAGTCATGTGCCAGCACACATTAACAAGTTAAATGACTTATTTCCAGTTTTTCTGAAGCTTTATTTATTTATTAAAAAAAACATTTTTGGGGGAAATAGTACTCAGGTCCCCTGATACAGAACGCTCACATGCTGTTTTGGGCAACTCCTCGTTTCTCTGAATTTTCAGTAATGGGGGTGTAGAGTGCAAAGACCCACAAGAACACAATAATTGCTACATTAATGGGAAAAATAGCAAGTTGAAATGAACCTGAAATTGCCTTTAATCTTTCCTGGCTGTGCACGTCTCAGTCCACCTTTCAAACTGAAGGATGTTTGGCGCTAACATTAGTCTGGTAATACCAAAAAGAAGAACAACTTAAGAGTCCTAATGGAAGGAGTTCTGACAAGCAAATGCTGTGAAGATGCTGGAGAGCACTTTAGTAAATGGCTTTCATTGTGCCTAGATTCGAGATAGAGACATATAGAGAGTCTTATGTCAGGATATAGCTCAGAAAAACTTGCTGAGTAATGCTACTTAGAGCTAAGAAGTCTGCCTGTTTTGACAGAGTTTCTTTCAGCCTTTGTTAGTGAGCTGCTAAGAAAGTGTTACGAAGCGGCTCTGAAAGAAAAAAAATTGCTAATGTGTAGCATCAGCTTACAGCTTGATGCTGTTCAGTTCAGAGCTGGATGTGCTGGGAGAAGCAAAAAAGAAATAAAAGAAAAAAAAAGAAAAATCAATCAAAAGGGGAAATTGTAAGAAATATGAATCGTTGCAATGAGAAAAACAAAACAAAAACACTGACTTTAAATTGAATACATAAAAATAAATCAGTCCTATAGTAGTTTACAGAATCACAGCTGATTCTTACACTGGGTTTAGGGTTAAAGAAGGGATTAGTTATGCAAGCACAATTTATATTAAAGGTAAGGTTTTAAAAAAAACGATGCCAGTGTCATAAATCCTTCCCGAAGTAATGAAAACACAGTCCTCTGTGTGTGTGTGTGTGTGTGTGTGTGTGTGTGTGTGTGTGTGTGTGTGTGTGTGTGTGTGTGTGTATGCGAGATAGGGAGAGGAACTGGGAGTGCGAAAGATAACAGATGTACCCCCAGAGTCTGATGTTCAAGGTCAGGCTCGCCGTGTGCAGGTAACAGTGTTTACACTGATTGCTGCTACTCATGTATGGGCTGTGCGCAAGTGTGTGAGTGTGAGGAGATGAGAGCGGGTCGTGTGTGTGATGGGGCGTGTTTAGAAAAAGAAACTGTAATTAGTGTGGTTGCTTGATTAGAGCTCCACTGAGAGAGATCAGACTGACCAGACTGGAACAACAGATTAGACAGCAACAGGAGGGGTGGGAAAGAGAAACGGAGAAAAGATGACGGGAGGGTGAGACAGAAAAGGACAAGACAGTCTAATGTGACGTTTTGCTCAAATAATTATAAAAAGAAAAAGCAAACAGCACTACAGGAAATCTTTTTTTTCCCTCTAAGCATTAACAGAAATGCAAAGACAGAAAAAAACTGTCAAAAGAGGAAAGAAGACAGAGGTGAAGACCTTCCCCAAAACAGTCAGACGTCACCCATCCAACGCTGGCAGGAACCAACAGTGTAACCAGAGCGACAAAACAATAAACAGCATTTACACTTTATGGGAATGCAACTGAATAAATAAGTCTGTAAAGGGCAGGTTTGTCTGCTGAGATAAGAAAACATAGGTCTGCTCAATATGGTGACGCTGGAGTTCATAGCTGTTATGAATGGCCATCCGCCAAGACAATGTGGAAAAGTGTTTATGTTGTTCTTCTCACTTTCATTTTCTTAAAGTAAACTATGTGCTCAGACAGAATAAACACTGCTACACATACATCAAGGAATACAAACTACATCTAAAATAAATCTTATGTATCCAACAAATACATCCATTCATTCGCTTCCGCTTATCCTTTTTCAGGGTCGCTGGAGCCTATCCCAGCTGTCATAGCTGTATGTATAGGTACACCCTGGACAGGTCGCCAGTCTGTCGCAGGGACAGCACACATTCACTCGCACATAGTGGCAATTTGGATTATCCAATTAACCTATCCCCACAAGTTGCATGTCTTTGGACTGTGGGAGGAAGCCGGAGTACCCGAACCCACGCAAACACGGGGAGAATATGCAACCTCCACACAGAAAGACCCCGGCCTGATGGTGGAATTGAACGTGCCACCGTGCTGCTTCCAACAAATACAGCTGAACAATAATGTTATGTGATCTTCAGAGACTAGTTCCCTGATTTATGACAATCCAAAGGGCAAAAGACAAACTCTAGCAGTCAAACCTGAGTACTGAGTATTTCAGTCACCTTTCTCACTCACTATGTGTTAATACAGCGATCCCGGTCCGTGAGTCTTTGGTACCGGGAGAGTTGAGGCTCGTGTGTGAAATTTATGTTTTTGCGGGTTTTTTCCCCATTTTTTAGAGTTATTTTTTTATCGTTTTTAACGTTAACTCGGTTTCCCTGGGTCTTTTCCCATGTGTTATGAATAAATCTTCTTTTTTTTGGTACAGGTACTTATTTTGTTGTATTTATCTGCCACACCTTAAAGGCCGGTTAGTGAAAATATTGTTGAAAATAAACCAGTCCATGGTGCAAAAAAGGTTGGGGACCGCTGCATTAACAGACCTCTCTGCAATGAATCATACTTGTTATTAACCTCTGTCTCTCTTCCACAGCATGTCTTTTATCCCGTCTTCCTTCTCTCACCCCAACCGGTCGCAGCAGATGGCCCCGCCCCTCCCTGAGCCTGGTTCTGCCGGAGGTTTCTTCCTGTTAAAAGGAAGTTTTTCCTTGCCAGTGTCGTCAAAGTGCTTGGTCATAGAGGGTCATATGATTGTTGTTTTTTTCTCTGTATGTATTATTGTAGGTCTACCTTACAATATCTATCTAGCTAGCTAGCTAGCTATCTATCTGACCCTGAATGGATTAGAGAAAATCCAAATGCAAAATAAAGCCAGACTTGTCTACATAACTCTTATTTTTCAGTCATTGTGCTCTGTAGTGTAAACACTGTTAAACACATATGCTTTCCGTGAGAGGCAACACTCACCTCTCCATCATCAAAACACTAAAAGATGGAAGATCTGTTTGGGAAAAATGGTGTTCCAAGGTGCAGCCAGGCTGTTCTGGCGACATGTGCAACGTGAAGATTTCACATGCTGCCAGAACAGCAGCTGTCTTCATTAGTATTTTAAAGTGTTTGGAAAAGGAAAATGAGCAAGCTCATAACACATTTGAGAGTGCAAATAAGCAGCACATGGAAAGACAAAAATAAAGCTAAACTAATTAAATTACAAAGGAAGGCCCTGAATTTGAAATTAATCAAATGAATGTCGCACAGAAGATAAAGAAACTGAAGAGCGGAGATTTGAATGAAGGAATGGAAGTTAAAAAAAGAAAGAAAAAAACTTGAAGATGTACGATACATAACAGCGAATGCAGCTCAATCTGGGGCAGCTGCATAAATGTGCACATGTGAACTCTGCGCTGCTACAGCAATGAGATGATCTCCACATCATTGTGCTGCACATGCCCTCATTATCCCTGGTAATAAATAAATCACTACAGGATTTCTACCATTGTGGAAAAGGCCTGAAGACACATGGGCCTCAATAATGGATGATGTCTTCTGGACAGCAGATCAGTGGATTAAAAAGATAATGCGTATGTGCACTGGTGGATTGGAAGGCCAGGAGCAGCTAAAGGATAGCTTAAGAGTGATAGCCTTCTAACTAACTTCATTATCTGGATGTGCATCGCTAATGGGGCATGTGCAACTGATTAATACGTAGGTTGCAGAAAGAAGTAGGAAAGGAAGGTAAAGATTGATTTTTTAAGACAACAGTAGAAGAAAGAATCCACAGGATGAGACAAATGTTTTAAAAAAGAATACAACGTGGACAGTAGCATGGAAATGAGATGAAAGACGAATCATTTTGGTGAGAAAGGAGACGAGAAGATTTCAGGAAGAGGGAAAGACAAGCAGAATAATAGAGATGGACTGAAAAAAAGAGGAGAGACTGGATAGGATGTCAAAGAAGGAAACCGAGATATGTAAGGAAGGCATAAAAGAGCAAGAAAAAAGAGCAAAAGGGGTTTTACCTTGAGAGTCATCTCCCCAACGAAGATGGCAGTAAAGATGTAGTTGGAAATGGTAAGAAACAGTCTTTCCTGTAACAAAAGGGGCACAAAAAAATCAAGGAGAAACTGTTTGATTTATTAGAAAAGAAGAGAATGATTAAGAGAGACAAGCAGAGGTGGCAGATTAAAGCCAGAAAAAGCCGTTTCAGAAATGATGACTTTGGCTTGAGTGAGAAGCTTTTAAGAAGGACACGAGCGAATCAATGTTTGTCACTGATCGCATTAGTCAGGGTTTTGTTAAAATTCCATCAAAATGAAATGCCAAACAAGTAAGAGTTGCTGTGCTTTAATTCGAAAGTTTTCATTTCACTTGATCACTTTCCTTGCAAAGGGCTCACTGTTCAATAATTCAGTGTTGCTTAATTACAGGAAGTGGCTTGAGGCCAGAATGCAGTAAGAACTTAAAGTAAGTGGGATTCTGATACTGATTTTTCTATATTTAACTGCTTGTTGTCAACGAAGGAGTGAAAGGTACTTTTACCTGGATGGTAACAATTCCCCTGCTTTATTTGTACGTTCATTTGCTCTTTGTAAGCGAGCAGTCTCTCATTTTTATGACGGTTTCATTTCAATGGAGAAAGACAGAATATCACCAAAAAATGATAAAAAGCCCCACACTACATAAAGTTACACATCCCTATGGTGAAGCACGGAGGAGGAATCATTATGCTTTGGGCCTGTTTTTCTGATAAGGGTACAAAATGACTTCACTGCACCGAGGGTCCAAATGCCATAAAATCCTGGATGAGAACTGGCTGCTCTCAGCCACAACATTAATGCCAGATTGTAGATAGGTCTTCCAGCATGACCTAAAACACACCACCCCAGCAATAAAGAAGTGGCACGTTAAGGTCAAAAACCTAAATAATTTAGAGAGTTCTGTAAAGAGGAGTGGGCCATCCTGAGATGCGTGCAAATCTGGTGACCAACTACAAGAAATGTGTTACTGCTGTGCTTGCTAACAATGTCTCTCCACCAAGCACAAGTCATGTTTTGTTTACTTCTTTCACTCAATGACATGCAAATCATTTTAGAATTTCTATGTAAAGTATCTTTTTCTGCATTTTTGGTTGATCTATCGCTCTCCATTAAAATGAAACACCCACGTGTACATATAAATCTACAGACACACACATACACAGCATGCTTCTTGCTCTGTTTAGTACATGTTGAGTAGCAGTATTTGGAAATATCCACCATGAATTCAAAGCGATTCCTCTTACCAGGCTACCTTGAAGAATCTTTGGCCTCTCCAGAGCCACTGTGATGCAATTGAGGAATATGAAGGCCAGCACCACGTAGTCAAAGAGTTTATGGGCAATAACAGATTGGCAGAGCAGTCTGAACCTAACAAAAGGAAAGCAAAATTGACATGACAGAACATAAAAGATATGTAAACGGGAAAAGGTAACAGATTTTCTCCAATAGTTTGTGTTCCTTTGTTAACATATGTCACATATAAGAAATCCCAAAGGAAATTATTTTATGAGTGAAAGAAAACACAATTTTATCTTTTTGCAGTATTTCATGTGATGCAAATCTAGCAAGAGAACTCATCCATAACGCAATTTCATCACATTGAAATCATCTGGGTTTTTTTTCATTGGTCAACATCTTAACCCTCATAAAAAGCTGCAAAGTTCCTTCCAACTACTACGGATCTTATTAACCAGTGTAGGTTATTTTTTATGTAGATATATTAGTGTGAATGAAACTAGAATGAAGAACAACGTAAAAAAATGTTTGGCCTCATGATCTGGGGGACAATACCAGGAGTTACCAGACTTTATAGTAGTTATTAGCACTAGTTCACTTGTTTACTCTTCCCTTGTTATATCTTCAGTATCTTGAGTACTAGCAGTTGTTTAAATAGCCTGACCAGTATTCAGGGGACTTGCACTGCACATTTGTGTGTTTGCTCCAAAAAAGTTACAGGAAGGGTGCCGGGTGGTCAAACTGTCAGCTATAGAACCAGTAAAGAAAACATGCGGGTCCAGAGTGAAGCCTTCACGCACCCAATCTCACGTCATCTGCAGGCTCTGATGGGAACTGAATACACCGACTGCTGCACTCGCTCTCTTGGCGAGGAGATCGATGTGCTAATCTGAATGCTTTTCCTCAAGACCTGGCAACTCTGTCTCTTTATCTATTGATTCAAATCTGGCAACTCTGTCCCCCCGATATTGATCATCACCAGCGGCTGTGTTGGCGTAAGCACTTACCCTACCCGAGACACAACTTTTAATGTTGGTTTCTTTCTCCTTCAGTATGTTTGCCTCTATTGCTTGTTAGAGTGAACACAAATGATCTTGACAAAACATGTGCACTCACACACATACACACGCTTACACGCTCCCACACGGACATATGCAAAGTCATCCAAACACATGTACAACCAAGCAACAAGACTTTACCGGCGATACGGTCTGACGCCATCCTCACACACATACACACAGCCTTTGCTTGACAGATGGCACCTGCCAGGATGCCAAAACACAGCCCTGGGGCCCGGCTTCCCTTAAGTAGCTATCAGCACGCAGGGAATCGAGTGAGTGAGCGAACGAAAGACTGAGTGATTTTTCTTTCATGTTGCTTTCAGGGAAGTTTCTACCGGCAATGAATTGAATTCTGACGGAAAACACAGCCCAGACTACCGCTCTGTCTTCAGAAAAAAAATGCTTTAGGAGGAGAATAACACAGTGACATCACTTTAACAAGCTATTTGTGAAACCAGGAGTTTTCTCTGTGGAAACAACACTCTGGCTATGCATCTTGTTGTTCTTCTACATTATCCAGCTAGAGCTGAAAACATTCGCAGACGTTTATTTTTCAGGGCCATTGGTCTTGCTTGATGAGCCTTTTTCCCCACACCCTCTTTGTCTCCATAGAGCCTTGGTAAAACCACTTTGCCAGAGCAAACAATTACAAGTATTAGCACATTAAGAGACATGCTTGTCTCTTTGTATGTCTCTCGCTAAAAGGTTGCATTTGTTGTACATTTCAAAGCCCACATACAGAATGTTTTGAATTCTACAGTCATTTAAAGAAGTTGATTCGGGAAGATTTCTTTTCTCAGTTTAAATATAAAAAGCTGAAAAAAACACGTCATCAGGACAGCGTTCGATCTGCGTGACCGACTCTGGTTTGGCAGCACATGCAAACAACCCTGTCATTAGATTTGAATTTGCACCTAAATCTGTGTTGCACTCACTTATTCTGAGGGGAGAACATGTAGACTGACCACTCCTCTCTGGTTTCACACCAGTCTGGCTTATACACCTCCATCATCTTCTGGATACGGAAGCACAAACTCTTCATTGGAGAGGAGGGAAAATACAGAAGAGGAATTAGCATTGATTTCTCTGAATTATTAGAATATTGATACTTTTCTGGTCAGAATATATGCCTTATTCTATCAGGAATAGTGCTATATAAATGCAATCCATCATTATTATTATTATTATTATTATTATTATTAACAATATTATTAATATCAACCAAAGTAGAATACATGAATTACTATTCTCTAAGATGGCTTCAGTGTGTTTGTAGACAAAGTAACAGTAAGTGCAAAGTCACTGCTGCCACAAATTCCTGCACCAAATCCTAAAATAATGATGATTTATGTCTTGTTTTGGTTTTCAGTATAATCAGGGCATTTTGGGAAAACCTCTATTTATATAAAGAATCTCTATTTATCGACCACAAGCAGCATGACTGAGCAAAGCCCCGAAGGCCCTCTCTTATTTCACTGCAGAAACAACAACAACAAACACATTCTCGACTCCTTCGTTTCTCATCTCTACCTGACACCTTCTGCACCACCTATAGCATTACCAAACTAAAGTGGCACCATATTATCTTAAAGTTTGTGTGAACTAAGCAGCAAACGTTGAAGTTAGATGGTTAAACTGCTAATGATGGGTTCAGCACCATGAGCTGCTGTTGCTAGGGTTTCTGAACTTGACCCATCCACTAACATGACAATAGTATAAATACTGGAGCAGAAGTTGGAAAAAAGTTACTATAGTCACCTCATATCATTACAGTCTACAGTTTGCTATTTAGCTAGATCTTTCCTTCACCAACAACCATGCGTCTTCCTTAATGCCTGGATTTCTGAGTAATAATGAGATAAAGAAGAATTAAGGGAGTTTCTATGGTTATTCCTGTTTATCAATACAGCTATAACAAGGACCTGCTGCTTATCATTGAAAATCGATCACAGTAAGTGAACCACTGCGCTTCAGAGAGCTGGTAGTAAACCACTTACATAGTCTGTTTCTTCATCAAGGTCTGTTCTGTCCTTGCGTGCATTGACTTGAGGGAAAACCTCAACCATAAGCTGAGTGTGGGGACCTGGTGCCTTGCCATTACAGTCCCGGTGATCCACTCCTAAACCGCTGCCGGCCACAGACCCTCCTGTAATGGAGCCCCCCGCTCCAGACCCACTCCTTTTGCCAGCGTCTGGGTGGATGGGAGGAAGGCCTGGCGGCTGTCCACCTGCCCGAAACAATTCAGGGAGTTCGAGGGAAAGAGCCCGCCGATCTCTCCTTGCAGCAAAATGCCTGGAGAGGAAAAATGGGGGCGGAGGTGGATGATGAGGGGGCAGAGGATGATGGGAGTGGGCTGGGTGGGAAAGAAGGGACTCCTGCTCTGGCGCAAAGGTGTAGGAGTGGGGCGAGCGGGTGCTGTGCAAGCGGAGGCTGCCTCCCACTGGAGGTAATCCGCTGAACCCATAGCTCCTTCGACCTAGGCTGTTTGAGCTAGACCTGCAGAGCACAAGTGATTAAAGGTACAATTAAAAGGTCATACATATTCATGAACGGCTTGTAAAATGTCAGTAGAACTGTATCAACAGAAGGCGATCAATACTGTTTTATAAAGTTTTATGTGCTAAGCATTTAGACTCGAAGCTAATAGGAAAATAAAATAACATCAAAGGTCTGATGTTTCCAAGGAGGTAATTACAGCTTAATGGTTCTGGAAGTTCATTAAGACAACAGCTGGAATCAGTGGTTGCAACTGAATTTAACTGTGTACCTGCGACTCCATCCAGACTGCGGAGGGAACGGACGCCCCCAGTTGTGGTAGTTGGAACTGCCACCGTGGCGCTAAAAGAGAAACGCAGCATTTCAGAGAAGTTTCTGATCCGCTGAATGTCTCTCAGTGAGGTGTCAAAGACCCAAACACCCCAAAATTAGCAATGACAAATAAAAAGTCCTAAAAAAATTGTTCACTCCTAGAATTTAATATTTTTAATTCAATGGATGATTGTATCACCTCTAGAGCGATCGACTTTCTTTCTGCAATGACTTTTTCGGCACTTACAGTATTCCAGCCAGAGACTAATGTCACTAAAACATTGGTTAAAAGGAAAATGGAACGGAAACAAGAGCGCGGCTGTTAGTGTATGTCAATTATCCACAAATTAAACAACAAATATAAAACAGCTGAACAAACGAAGTATAAATTGAGCTTTTTAAAAATAAGATTGCAGTGCACTGCAGGTTGTCATCTACTTTAATATACAAACCCCAGAGTGCCAGTTCCACTTAAAGGAACACCAACAGTTCTTTTTGTTTCCGCATGTCTAATCCTCTGAGCCTGATGGTTCTAATTATATGTTTTACCCTCGGAAATGTACATGTTGCCAATCAAAACCCGAGCCAGAGAATCTATGCATCGTCCTCTAAATAAACTGTAGCGAAGCATGAAAGCTAAATGTTAAGTAACACTTGAGTCCACACAGAGCTGCACTGCAGATCGCCCAAGAAGAACGGCGAGTGACAGACACCAGCTGCTGCCTTCACTTGCAAGCATATTGTAGCAGTTACAACTTTCTGTAAATCTGATCTAAAGGTCACTGGCTATAGATAGTTGTCATCAAAGCAAACAAATAACCACATGAACGATACATTTATATCACACACATTAGATTATACACATCTACTGCACAGTTAAACAACATGCAAACACTCTACAGGAACGTTTGTGTTGAGGCTCATTCTTTTCTAGCAATATACAACGTTAGAGTGATGAATTTCCATCACAGCCGACAAACACATCATCTCATAGTCTGAGTGTCATTTCGTGGGGGAAAAAAATAGATAAAAAGTGGTTCCTGACAAAACTTCAACCAAAAACACAACATTTATACACAGCTCTCTCGAACGCTTATTAGTTGAGTGATGTAACCGGTGCCTACTGATATCAATAAACCTGGAGTGCTGTGAGAGAAGAGGAGGAGACTTCACAGTGAAGTGGATCTCGCACACCCACCGTGTTTAACATCGTAACCTTTGCGGTTGCTAAACCACAGACTTTCATCTCACATGTTTTCACTGCCCTTTTTTTTTTATTACTGAATCATCCTTCCTGTTTGTCTCCATCACCATCTCTCTCTCTCTGCTCCGTCTTTTTTTCCTCCCCTCTACTTCTCCCTGTCGCCTTTTTTCCCTTCTTTCTCCCACAGTTTCTCTGTGGATGAACAGAAGAAGGGAACAGTCAATTAATAGAAGTTACCATGGCAACTGTATGCCGAGCCAGCCCTTGTAGAACTGTTTCAGTTTTTCTTCAGTTCTGGTTCAGTGGACACAACAATAGGGGAATTCCTGCTGTGGATTTTTGTATACTATATATATATATTACTGAATGTTTACAGGATGGTGCAAATAAATTGTCATTTATTAGCCTTAATTGCAAGCTTTTTTCACACATAAATGTCACCCATAAATAAATAGCAAAAGAGTGCTATGAAATTCTAAGATGCCATATAATAAGATTTGCAAGAATGTGCCTACTGCATGAGGTGTGGTCATAAAGTCTGCTTGCAGCATGGATGCTATTACTATTGGTGCTTCAGATACATCAGGTCAAGAGTGCAAGAAGCATGCACACTGGTTTATTGACTTTCAAGGGGTTGTGCACAGTGAATTCAATTCATTTCAATTCAGTTCAATTTTATCGATATAGAGCCAATTCACAGCAGCGGTTTTCTCGAGGCACTTTATATTGTCTCTCCTGAGGCTGCTCGGGTGGTGAGGGGGAAAGGGATGAGAAAAAACAAAAAGAGAACACAGAGACACCGTGGAAAAATAAACAGGACAAAACTAGTGCTGCAAAAGACAGGAAGTGCTCAGTGTAATCATGGGAAGCAGCATGACTAAGGTTCACCTGATCCAGCCCTAACTGTGACCTGTTAGAAAGGTTATTGCTCCTAATACCTTTTCAACATTCAAGCACTCAATACTGAGTTCTCCTGTTGTGCTCAGTCATTTGAGGATCAACATTTGGCCAAAAAAATGAGCCCAGCTATGGCGTGCGGCCCCTGCTAACAGCACACTGACATCGTTCATCATGTGCCCTCGTGGCCAGATTTAGATCCTTTCAACTTCCAAAAATGAAATTAAAGTTCAAGAGTTGGTATTTTGACACACTAGAGTTCTTTTGCCTCTTTTTATTTTCTTGCTCTTTACCAAAAGAGGTCAAATCCAATACACGGTGGGCCATATTTGTTAAGTTTGCAGACAAAACAGGCACTGCGTCTCTTCCGAGTAGTGATGACCCTGCGGTGGGGGATTTCACAGAGTGGGTAAGCTGTCCTTCTTGGACACGAATGCATCAGAAACTAAAGAGATGGCGTTTGTACAGCAGAGTAAACACCTTTCCACTTTTGAGCTTCAGGTGGATGCTGTCTAAAGAAAAGCTGACCAACACATGTACTTTTATTGCGAGCTTCGTGGTTGTTATGTCGGCAGAACCTCTGAGTTTTTTTTATTCTCATTTTTTAGATTCTGGTTGGTCAGGTGGTACAAGTCACTAAACCTCAAAACCAAGAACGGACTGGAAGATGTGACCCTGAATGACCTCCCTCTCTTGTGTAAGGTTAGGCCCAGTCACTCCCAGCCAACCCTCATCCAAGTAGTTCAAGCTGCTTGCTAGCCTGCAGGTCGGGTCTCATTTGGGTCAGCTGCCATTATTCTTTTAAATAAATAATTGTTTTTAATGGTGATATTTTATTCTGGAAGTCTTATTTAGTGTGTTCTTAGTGGTGTAATTATTATGTTTTTATTGTTGGCTTGATGCTTTTGTGGTTTCTGCTGACCGTACAACAAATTGCCCCTCAGGGATAATTAAGATCATTCATCCTTGATCCTTGAAGTGCTCAGAAAAGGACTTCAAGATCAATCTAAAAATAGCATCCACGGTCAAGGGATGATCTCCTTAAAGGGGTGGGTTACAGCGTACTAGCGGCGAGTGGAGTGTTAACATGTGCATCATACTTACAGATGGGTGACTCATGCTAAACATGACACGTGAAAGAGATGAAAACAGAGAGCCTAACATCAATAGCACATGGTAATGAAATACTGAACATTAGATCTATGAAAATGAAGGGAAGCGGAATTTTTAATAATCTTTTTAAAAACATGCAAATGCTATTAATCGCTGAATGAATGATGACGGTCAGTCAAAGTTTCATTCACCTTGGTCCACCTGTTAAGGAGGAAATAAGGTTCATCCAGACATATACATACATAGAATAAAGTCATTATACAGGGTGAACCGAGACATCTCAGTATTATTATATCATATTATATTATATTATATTATATTATACTATATTATATTATACTATATTATACTATATTATATTATATTATATTATATTATACTATACTATATTATATTATATTATATTATATTATATTATATTATACTATATTATATTATACTATATTATATTATATTATATTATATTATATTATATTATATTATATTATATTATATTATATTATACTATATTATATTATATTATATTATATTATATTATATTATAGTCAGTATTTTAACATTCATTACAAGCATCTGTGTCCGTAACCTGACATAATGAAATACATTTCAAATGAATTGAACTACACATTCACTGTGATGGATTGCATATTTTGGGCCAGTTTAAAATCTGTAAACAGACATCGTCGACACTAAATATAAACTTGAAACCAAGGCGTTCTGCTAAAGAGGAAAACATATTTATCATTGTATAAAGCCGCAAACAGCTCATAGAGTCATAACAGGAATGGTTGAAAAGTGCTCGGAGGCAACGTAAACCATAAAGTACACATGATTTGTTGAGAATAGGCTGAGAAGTTGTGTTTACGTGTGTGCACGACCGTCTGAAGTATGACAGTGTGATAAAGTACCAGGGAGAGGGAGCGTCTCTCCAGGCTGCTCTTGCCCAGGCTCATAACGCTGCTCTTTCTAGAATCCATGGTGAAGCTCCGCCTCTCCGAGGAGTAGGATCCCCTGGGTGCTGAAAGGGCACCCAGCTCCAGGTGGCCGTTTGGTGTCAGGGTGCAGATCCTCGGGTCTAGAATGGAAAATAACAGATGGGTTAAAAGTGTTGTGATAGCAATCCAAACTTCCCTCAGTCATAGTTTAATGCCTGACTGCTAAGACATGAGAAGCTATTCTCATATACTTAGTCCAATTTCAGTTGATTTCTGGGATTCAGTCATAAGACTGCAATTCTTTTCTCATAGCCGACACATTTCTTTTCAAGCTGTCTCTGGGTGCCTTACATTTACTAAATTTCCATTTGAAAACCTCCAGGGATGGAGACACATAACAAAAACAAAATAATAAAGAAACGGCAACATGAGACACTGGTATTACTGTGACGGCTGTAACCAACATGCTCAACTTAGTTCTGCTCAATATTAATTTGATCTCTTTATAAACTGCTGGGGATAATAGCAGATGTTACAAATAGGCTCTAATTTGTGCTCCAACCCTGTCCTAAATAAGTTAGAAACCTTATACTGTCAACACTCTTAAGTTGGTTATGGGTGATATAGGGGTGGTTTTGGAGGCATATTCATATTCAATTTGCAGGTGCACAGCTGGGTTAAAAATGAAGGCCAAGTCTGAACACAAGTGTGGTAAATTCTACTGATTAGCTATCTACTGGCACCTGCACATTTAGCCAGGTCTCCTGTCTGCTGTGATCCCAAAGCAAAATTGTCATGAAAATGGCTGTGTGCAGGCAGGAGAGGACCCAGAAGCAGACTCATGGAAATGGGATGTAACTCAAAAACGTCTTTATTTACAGAAGGGGAAACAAACAATACAAAACTAAACTGGGAAAAACTAGTTAGCTAAACACTCGAGAAACACACAGAGAATTCCACACAACCACGAGGGACGATGCGACACGGAACTGCGAGGACTGTAGGAGCACACAGGGAACACAGCTGACACGAATAATGATAATAATGAGACTGAGGAAGAGCAACACAACATGACGGACACAGACGGAGACTATCAAAGTAAAACAGGAAGTACAAAGAGACGTACACTGGAGAGGGAGAGAGAACATGAGGAGCACGAGGGAGAGAGGCAGACATGACAGGCTGGGGAAAACAAGATGGCACAAGAACTCATACAACCATGTAAACGTGGACAGAATAATGTAGGAAACCAAGATAATCCTTAACATAATGCAAAAAATGACAACAAACAAAGGAAACTTAAACGGCTGGGCCAAAAGGACCCAGGACCATGACAAAAATAGTCTTTAGTGGTTGATGACGTGGCTACGTTGTTAGCACTGCTCTGGAGCTTTTGTTTCCCTGTGATGGAAAACTATCTCATGTCTTTTTATAAACCCTCTTTAGTGACATTTATGAATCATTGGAGCCTACGACAGTGGTACACTGAACTTTTAATGAGTGTCTTTGCCTTGTCTTGATGTTTTTAAGGTGCTTTTAACCAAAGATAAAAATTCTGCAATCGTACACTTTTAGCTGTTCTCTTTGGTCTCAGAGGTCTTTTTGTGTTGCTGCATTCCTTTTTTTTAAGAATACACCAGATTGTTGATTTGGCCACTCCTGACGTTTCTGCTCTCTGATAGGTCTGTTTGGGCCTTTACCATTTAATAAGGGCCCACGTCAGTTGTACTTGTGTCTTGGGACTTCACACTAAGAGTTGCAGTGACCTTTGAACATAAAATACCTATACTTTCTCCTATTAGATATTTTAGTTTTCATAATTACCTATTGTCTTTTAAAATATACTCATTTTATTCTCGAGTATTAATAAACTTAAGAGTTTTCAAGAGTTATATGGATTCATATGAACTGGTTGGATGGGTGGACAGACAGGGAGAGACAAACAGGAAACAGATGTATTAGAAAACTTGATGTACCCATATGAACAGGCTGAAGCCAAACAAAGTATACCTCTGTGATGGATTGCATCTATTCAGACAGGATAGAGGTATACTTTATTAATTTTGCATTTTTAATTTTGCATTTTTCCCATCTATGAAGACGGAGTCTACAAGCTTCCCATTTTGTCTGCACCGCAGTGCAGAGACCAGATCTTTTGTGCAAACTTAGCCCACTCAGATGGTATAGAAGCGATCCTCCAGCCTCTGAACTCATATTTAATCCTCTCTGAACTGCATTGTTTGTTGGATCTGTTGAGGAAGTCTGTACTGCTTCAACAATTTTACTGTGAGGCTGGATATAGACAGAGCCTATTCATCTTTGTTGACTACAGGCTATTTTCTGCAATTTTACAAGTTTTTAAGCTTTTGGCAAATGCTTCCGTCTTAGTTTGAGTCGAGCACATTTAACCTCCCTTTGGATAAGCCTCAGTGAAAAACAAAGAGCTAAAATTCGATGAGCAGGCAGATTCTCGAGCACGTTGTTCCATTTTGAGATAAATGATGCAGTATGTGAATTGAGGTATTAGCGTTAAATCCTTAAAAATAAACATTTTTAACAAAACCAAACATTCTGACCTCATGCATGTCGATCTTACTTCAGGCCTTTTTTAGCTGAGTGGTACTAATAACATGGCAGCTGAGTGTAATCAGAAAGTTTGGATGTCGCTCTTACCAGACAACTTGATGGAGTCACGTTTTTCACTCTCGTCAAAGTTGGAGGAGGAGTGATCATCGTCTGAATATGAACGATTTGCATCACCCTGTAGATAAAAAAAATCTATCAGACAGGACTCGTGGTCTAAAAGATTTTTGTCACAGACTTTTTTTTTCAGATTTTGTCATACGCCAGCCTTTAATCTCCGGGGCAAAACAGTGCTCCCTCACAACAGCTATCAGACGTATTTAAACATACTATCAGACAATCTTAGATCGACGCCCCTCTGTAAGTCTGTAAAACCCTCAAAGTACTGACACACTACTCCAGGAGCCCTCTCAGACTTGGTTAAGACCAATGGGATTTCCCCTACAGTCTTCATTGAGGGAGTAAATTGGCTCAATAATCCCTAGTGTGTCGCAGTTGTAGACCCAGAACAGATGAGTGGAGGAAGGGGAGCGAGCTGGAGGAGAAAAGGCCGACAGCGAGAGAAAGGAGAGAATAAAAGGCAGGAAGAGAGACAGACTGAATGACTGATGGCAGGGTTTTGTTTTGGCATTTCAGAAAGATCAATCAAGAGCTGCGTGATTTGTGTCAATGTTTCCCTCCCAACTCACACATCATAGCTACATGCCATGAATATGGTAATGCTTTGATCTGTGTATGAAAACTCAACTGGGTTACTCAACCACACTACAATTTTCCAGTGATATCATCTGACATCGTTTGACAGCTGAGGGCAGATTGACAGCATCACTTTTGCAGTGTTTTCCACTAAGAGGGATGGCTTCAGAAATTCTGCTGTATTTAATTATTATTACATAGGACCAATACTATAATATATATCATCACTCTTTTTTTCTACAGCACAAAACAGATTTTAAACTTGATTTTTGTTCATTTCTTTTACTATATTTAGATCCTCATGTTCTCAAACCTCACCTACAAACAAATGAACAGTCTAAATTTTCACTGTAGTTTGGTTTTAATGAAAAGAGACAGAATATCAACAAAATGTCTAGACATTTGTCACTGAGTGAAATACGTATTTGATCCCCTACAACCAAGCCAGAATTCTCATTCAATTCAATTCAGTTTTATTTATACTTCTGGCTCCCTCTTTAGCTGTGTGTCCATGTGGCACACGTATTACAATCAAGTAATCATTAATCAATGAATTATAGACACCCCTGATCTCAACTTATTATGTGTATAAAGCACAGCTGTCCACAGAGTCAATTTCTTCCATTTTAGCCTCTCCTCCACCACGGGCAAGACCAAAGAGCTGTCAAAGGACGTCGGGGACAAAATTGTGGAGCTGCACCAGGCTGGAGTGAGCTACAAGACCTTCAGCAAGAAGCTTGGCGAGAAGCTGACAGCTGCTGGTACGATTAGTCAGAAATGGAAGACATATAAAATGACCATCAACCTTCCTCAGCCTGGAGCTTGATGCAAGATTGAGCTCTTTGGCATAAACTTGACCCGCCATCTTCAGAGGAAGAAAAATGCTGAGAATGACATAAAGAAGGCCTACCCCACAGTCAAGCACAGAGATGAAAACTATGCCTTGGGGCCCGTATAGATACAGGACAACTTCACCGTATTGAGGGGCCAATCGATGGGGCCATGTACTATAAAGTCTTGGATGAGAACCTCCTTCCCTCCCTCTGCTCTGCTTTTTTCCATCCTGAAGATGGATCATCGATTGGTCTTCCAACATGACGATAACACAAAACATACAACCGAGGCAACAAAGGTGAAGAACATTAAGGTCGGTGCATTGCCTCCAGACATCAGTCCTACAGAAAATCTGTGAAGCCCAGAAAATCTGGGAGCTGAATTTTCAAGTTGCAAGAGTCACCCAAGAAAACAAAAAGGACACAAACTCTCCCGAGATGTGTAAAAATCTTTTGAAAAACTATAAGAAACATCATACGCCTCTGCTTACCAACAAGGGTTTCTCCATCAAGCGCTAAGTCATCTTTTGGATCAAAGATTTATTTCACTCAGTGGTGTGTAAATCAATGTAAAACTTTTATGTAATGTGTATTTTCTGGATTTTTGATTGAAATTTGGTGTCTTTCCATTAAAATTAACCTACCAAAAAAATACAGATTGTTTATTTCTTTATCAGCGTGTCAAATATTTGATTCCCCCACTGAACATCATTTCAGTTCCCGCTTGTACTGTGATAACAGTTTGACATTCAGAAGAAGTATTGCAGGAAATACGTTTTTTATGGATGTGATGGCTTTAATGTTGATAGAAGTCACCATATTTAGTGCACAGAGCAAATACTCTGAACATTATGTGTGTAACGTTTGTCTATCCTTGCCTGATTGATAATACAGTCAACTTGTATGTATGAGGTTTTACACATCTATGTAAAGAAGCTAGCATGCAAAGCCCCTCTGCTGAGTTTATTATGTAACAGGAATGATAAAAGATGATGCAGCATAATATCCATACTGCACTTGAGGCACATTAGATTGTAGGTCACCCGAATTTTGGCAGCTCAATACGCAGTCATTGCAGCTGTATGCATAAAACGGAAAAAAACAGACTTAAAGCACAAAAATACATTTTGAGCTGTGTTCAAATGAAAGCAATACATTACATGTATTACGTGGACTGTGCAGACAGTCTGATTTAAATAGAATTTAATCCATTTTGTCAAATGCCATAAGATGGATGGCTGAAAAACAGTCGAAGTGTTGACTGTGTAGACATGCTGTAAACATGTAAATCTGCTCAATTCAGTGATTATGGAAATCAACAGAGGGCAACAGCTCGGTTTATTTTAGCTGTGAAGGTCTTTGCCAAAGGTTAAATTCTTCAGTTTGAGAGACACAGACAGACTGATATCAGTGGACCACACAAGAGATCACTGTGCAGGGAGTGCAAGCATCGGGTCAAGTTAGATAGAGAAGTGCCAAAGTTTGGAAATGTATCTAAATCACAGGCGGCCAAACAGCTTACGAGGCCGTGCTTTTTACGATATTAGAGATGTGGCACTTATTTGGTGGATGTTTTCAAATATCTGTAAGCTAAGTGCTCCTCCATCAATTTATACGATTATTCCATTGAGTCGTGGTATAATTTGGACTTATAAACTAGTTAAATTATTGCCAGACATAATCATGTTCATTTATTGAGTTTCTCTGGTGGCTGTTAGAGGCCAATACAACAATAATAATTAGAAATATTTCACTACTGATGAACACAGAATTGGATTAATAATTTTAGATGAGTAACAATTAAAAGATGAACAAGCTTACATTGTGCAGTTTGAAATGTGGCAGCAGTCAGCATCGGGTTGACCTATGCCCCTTACCTCTGCCTGAAAGCCTTCAACCAGGATGGCGACCAGCAGGTTGAAGAGGACGTAGTTTCCAAATGTCATGAGGGCCACAAAGTACAGAGCAGCAAGCGGTGAGGTCGCTGCCATACCATTGTACAAAACTGTGTTCCAGTCCTCCTGGGTCAGAATCTTTGAGATTTGCATAGACAGACGTAGGAGGTTAGTAACACAAAAAGGGCCTACTGATTGTTGAGCGCTAAACGACTCTAGTCATGCTGGAGTAAAAATAGAACTGCAACATCCTTGTGACCAATAAAACAATTTGGCTGGTTGGTTAAACAGAATTTTTTCACTTTTACTGACCAACTGGAAATAGTTACAGTGACCAGCTGGTTGGCCAGAGGTTGAGGATGCAGCACCCTTAACCCTCTTACGCATAGTGGTCACTACAGTGGACAGCTATTCCACTGAAGGCTGTTTTCTTGTATTTGTGTCAGTATTGATGGTATACTTGCACATAAACCACTACATTGGACACTGATGTGTCACTCCATACCCTGCCACCCACTGGGCAGCCAGCGTTGTCCACCTAAGTGGACGTGTAAAAAACTCTTTGAAAAGTACATGTTTAAAAAATGAAGTTCAAAAATCATGCCTGTGGTTTTTTCATGCCTAAAGATGAATAAAAATATCCAGGTTGTCATAACTCATGGATGAAAGGGTTAAGCTATGGGTGACCACTTTGGGTTGCAAGGTGACTGCACTGGATCCCCGTTTGCAACCAATTTTAGTCAGTCACCACTGCATCTCTTTGACGGAGTCAACTCAACTGGTTGCTAACTTTGCCAACAGCAAGAAACTCCTTCCCGGCAGCAACTACGTAACTATTTGTAGAAACATTTCAGAGTTTCTGTTTTAAACATATCAGGTTCTGGCTGTACTCTGAATTTAAAACGTTGATGTGACTGTTTCAATGTGATTATCACAGTTAACTGATGAATTATCACAAAGTGATGGCATGTAATTGTTAACCTGACCCTGTCAGGTTAACAATTAACCTGACAGGGTCAGGTTTGAGGCATGCCTGTAGTTTGAGGCATGTTGTGCTCATATAAATCAAAGCTATGATATGTTGAATACCTGAAAAACGGTGACAATGGCCCACAGCAAGGAATCAAAGTTCTTCCTGTCTGGTACTGTGTCTCCGGTCTCCGTCTTAAGACTGAATTTGCATCCAAAAATGTGCATCCCAAGGATACTGCAATACAATATACCACACAACATACACTCGGTCATCTGATATACCTGACTAATAATTAAATTCAGATCTTTGTTAAATCCATTTAAGCATGATACAAATACAATCATCTTTTATAGAATCACACACGAAGACGCTTTGGATAATTAAGCTGTATCTGTACCCTAAAGGTTCCTAACTGTGTAAATTCAGTTTTATTTATTTATTTATTTATTTTTAAGTGTCATCATTTGTTTTGTACTGTGTGACTTTCCGAGCTGAAATAAATTAGATGGCTGTAAATGCCTGAGTGCTGTTGGACGCTGGGGAACGGCTACATGAGATTTAATCCGCTCCAGCGACCATTTAAAATGTAAAGAACCAAACTAAACATTCACCAACAGTCTCAAACGTTTCATTTAGTAACATTTCTGAAGAAAAAAAGCATTCACGTTGCCATTATGGGTATTAAATGTGGCGTTACAGAGAAAAGTTTTAAATTTAGCTGTTAAAAATCTAACCGATGGAAAAATGAAGTTGTCTAATTACTTTTTTTTTAACACTGTATGTAAAATAACATCTAATTTAACAATGACTTCCTTTTACATTAACCCTGTGTATGAGTCTGAACAGACACACAGAGGATTTTTTTTAAAGCACACTGAGATCTCAGGGTCATTTTCCTCAGACATTACAAAACAAAATTACAGGGATGTGAGTGGCATGCAAATCTGAAAACAGTATATAAATAAAGACAACAAATACTGTGTACACTGAACACCCACTAAAGGACCTATTAACTCTCAAAGCAGTTCTGTGGCAGTGCTTGAGCATCACAAATGTACCCTTGTTGCTCTACTCACTTAAGTGTATGCTTGTTAAAATCTAACCAGATCATCAAGGGTCTGCTTGTTATTTTGTACCCAAGGTTAATAGCTGCTGTGGAATGTTGTGACCGTCTGTGCTACAATGGTTGCTGGTAAGCAGCTGTGCAGATCTAAAGCCAATACGTGCCACACCATGAAAGTAGAGGGTGAAACAGAGATCTGACTCACAGTACTGTTCCTGACACCAACTAAAAACGCAGCTGAAAGAAACGGATCAAACGAGCCGTTTACATTCTTCTTCTTTTATTATGATCACACAGTGTGTACACCTTACCTAAAGATGAAGATGAAGAGCATTAGTAACATGCAGAAGGTGGCCACGTTGTCCATGGTCTTCATCAGGACCACCAGCTGTCTCCTGAGAGCTGGCATGAACCTCACCAGTTTCAGCACCCTCAGCAGCCTGAAGGTCCTCAAAACAGACAAACCACCGTCCGACTGGCCGATAATCTCACACACACTGAGGGGTGAAGCACAAAATGCTGCTAAATGTCCATTTTAACATAGCATGTACAGAAAAAACACTTACATATGTACATAAAGCATAAATGAAAAAATGCCCTTTTACACGTAACTACAATAACATTTACATTTTGGTTGTATTACATAACTACAATAAAAAGTTTAAATTTCATGATACATTCAGTTCATACAGAGCATATTTTCCTCAATTAATTATATAAATAAACAAATCTTTTGTTTTAATATTTAATATTAATATTTTTAATAAGACTTGTGTTTTACTGCGAGTCTATGAGGACGAAGAATAATTGTTTTGTTTTGTATTTTGCTCATTTCTTGCAAACACGTTTCAACAGTGGCTATAACTGCAACTACACCTGCCCTGCCTGAGATGACCATATGATGAATATCCACTCTCACTGACATCACACACAGCCAAGAGTAGAAAAAACTGGCTGAAACATTTTGGCTCATGGGAACTAAATGTGAACATATTTTATGCCTAAGAAAACAACTTCTAACTGCTTCTTCGCTCTGTAGTCCATCATGTGCACACACAGCACTGGTTCATCACTTGCATTAGGTGCCTTATTTTAAAGCATGATTCAAAGGTCAATGTTAAGTGCCTTAACAAAATTCCTCTGAAAATAGTCAAGTACAAGGACTGCATTGAAAATCAATGAGAAAGCGTCCATTTTCAACACACACTAGCACTGGACTGTAACACATTCAAGAGGTTTATCTTAGCTGGTCGCACACAAGGACTCAACACAACACATCTTTGCTATTGTATTTGCACTACTGCACTAATGCACATAGGCTTGATTTATTTTATATTCCCTTTTATCTTTTCATAATGATCTCTTTCTATACTAGACTGAGAGAGAAACTGCAAACCCTGTACATGCAATGAATTGAAAATCTTGAATCCAATGGCCGAAGGAAGACTTTGGAAGACCTTCTGAAAGACTGGAGAAATATTGCTCAAGATCATTTTCAAGCAATATTGCAGATAATTATTGCTGCAGCACAAGGCCAAAAGTGTTCATTTTCATTATTATACACCTTCAAGTCCCTAACCTTTAAGGGAATCAGTACTGATTCTAATTTCTCATTTCTTTTCCCATCAACTCAAGTAAGTGTAGTAACTGATCCATGTTAAATTTGTGGTCACTTTTTAATCTTCAAGTAATTCATTTGCCCACTAGCAGGTTACCAGGGTTCTTGAGATTGCAAGTGAAGCTCTAAATGCTTTTATTTGTACATGAGTTCACAAAACGTGATGGCTGAAGTTTTGCTGTCTATTTTCTTTCTCATTCTGACGGATATTTAACGTGAACAGAGAGCTGTTCTCTCGTGAAAAATATGCCTTTAAAGAAACACGTCTCCTCGGGTTGGTAGCTTTCAAAGGCCTCACTCAGCACATCAAAATAGCATTGGCTTTGAATTGACAAAGACCGAATAGGGACCCTTGCATAGCAGCTCAGTATAAATAGCTGAGGTGGTTCAGATAGAAAAAGAGATGGAAATGGGTAGCGGGGCAAGAGATAAGAAGACAGATGCAGATATGTTCAATCACCATGTATCTTCTGTGATGGGTTGCACATTTGATCTTGTTCAGTTTTAGTTGCTTTGATGTGTATTTGATCTCGGGGTTATAATGGGGATCACACACAAAGGCGCCTAACCAGATGAATTGGGGGAAAAAAACACCAGTAGATCAAAGGCATTGCCACTCACCTGAAGCTTCCAGGCACACAAAACAAAAGACAAAATCTGTTTGCTGCTTTCTGACGCTTTGGCATCTAAATCCATACAGGTGGTACATTTGAACAAGATAGAAAGCACATGACAATTTGACAAAGTATGAATAATTAAACTGCAGGCTCTCTTTCCAGAATCGTCTGGCAAATGAAAAAAAAGCCGATATCTAAATTACATCAGTTACTATATTAGAAACTGTTTTTTTTACTCTCCAAAGCCTACTTCCGTCTTCTTGTGCTATTGAGGACATTCAAACTCTAAAATTACCTTTAGCTCTGACATATCTATGGCTGTCCACACATAAGGGTAACCTTTAAAAGCTGTACGTAACAACTGCAATCAGTGTTTTAGTACCTTATGATGACAATGATTCCATCAAAGACGTTGTAAGGGTTTCTCAGGTAGTTGAAAGAGCCAAAAGCTGTGAGCTTGAGGATCATCTCCAAGGAGAACATGCTTGTAAAGACGATGTTGCAGATCTCCAGAACATTGGTGAGCTCCTCTGGCTGTTAGCATAGAGACAAATAAAAGTAAGAGAAATTAGAAATGAAAGAGAGGTATATAAGCAGGGGTGCACATAAGTGGTCCGCAGGTGCGCATTCGCTGTCAAAATAAAAGACGCGCACCAGATAAGAAGTAGCAACGTGCGTTCGCGTACATATAAAAGGCACTGTTTTTGCCTTTTATATGCTGCAACTTCTTATCTGCTGCGCGTCTATTATTTTGACAGTGAATGCACACCTGCGGACCACTTATGTGCACCCCTGTGTATAAGGATGATAGGCAGAGACATTCAAAACAGTCAAGCTTCTAGTTACTAGCTAAAAAGAAAGTGTGATTATGCTTAATTTAAAAGTTTAAAGATAATAAAGATCTGTCTTCTGAAGGTCTCAGTTTGTTTGACAATCAGTAAAATATCGTCGGCATGTTCAAATAGTCTGTAATCTGCTGTCTGCACCAATCCCAAACAGCAGCAGGCAATAGTTAAACCAATTATAAAGCTCATCAATACATTTTGCAGATATTAATTAAAGAAACAGAATTTACTCAGTCCACCCTGAAGACTGCTGAAAGACCACATTTATATCCAAAAAATGTCTTTAAGAGCTCAGATTTCATATACAGTATCTTTTTGGTCTTCAGTTGTCAGTTTACCATCATAGTAATTGCACTAGCCATAATTAATCATAATAAGTCAACTTATTAACACACTAGCACAATCATTTGGTTATTTCTTTTTTGTTGTTTTATTTATTTCATTTTCAATCCTCCATATGCCGTTGCAACATATCTATCTATGTATCTATACATACATATATATATATATATATTCTTGTCGTCTAATGTTGTTCTGTTTCATTTGAACACATCTCTCTCTTTCTGGCTTTTTGTATAGATTTGCTCAATACGATGAAGAACAGCCATATATATACACGCAGACACACATACAAAGCACTAAATCTGGCACACTCGTGATTTCCAGCACATCTCTATTCCACAGAGCTCCTCTGCAACTTCAGCAATGACATTTCAACATCCCAGAATCAATGAGCACTGTGTTTATCATATTTACATGTCTGTGCGCATGTGTGCAGCTTTTTGTTACCCCTATATACTGTGTGTGTTTGTCACGCCTAATGACTGTTTGCAGTGTGAAAACATGGGCTAATGATGTATGCCCATCAGTGTCCAGACCAGCCAAACAGTGCTGGCAGTCCCTGGAGATCCATTACTGCTGTCTCATTACTGCAGACCTGGAAACAGATCTAAAGACTTGAGTTTTTTTGTTAGCTGATACATGGAATCAAATTAGAAAAGCAGGGATTTTCTATCATACTGAGGACTTCCAGGTTGACTTAGAAAAGTAAGCAGAATTCACTTGTGAACTAGTAGTTTGGGCTCTAAAAATACCTGTAATCAGGCAGTCAAGTCTAAATTTGTCAAGGAAAGGTGTTCGAATCAATCATACACTGCAGTTAGACCAGGGTTCGTAGTAGTAACTTTCTTAGCGAATAATGCAGCAAACAGGTGCAACAGGGTAAAAAGAAAGGAAATTTTCACCATTTGAGCCAATTTATTTGAAATGGCAAAATGCCAAAGCATTTGTCCTTGGCACACTGTTGGAGGAAATCAAACTTGACCTTGAATCTTCAACTAAATGAGGTCATGCAATAACTCAGTGCATCGCAAATTCTTGTAGCCCATTGAACTTCTTTCTGATTTTGGCTTAAAAAGAGAGACGCACATAAATTGGATGCTTATACGCAATTAGCTTTGTCAGATGGTGCTGCTGACTCTCATCGTCTTTAGGTCTGTGTGTGCCATCCTAATCTAATTTGTCCAGCACTTAGTGGGTTCTTCTTGTTGAAATGAGCTGGTCAATTCTGCATAAATAACATCTGAAGAAGTACTCTGATCTGAGATCTTAACTGAGAACGACTGAACTTCAGAGATCAGAGAATCAATGATATGAATCAACGAGCACAGTGGTCTCCATCATCTGTGAATAGGAGAAATTTGGAAGCCCTCAGACTTTTCCTAGAGTTCACCATCCAGTGAGTTGATCTCAAAATATCCAACTGGACAACAATTTTAAGTCTTGTATGGTACAGTGGCCAGAAGTCACTCCCCAGTAAACAGCACATTTCCACATAGCGACACAGAAAGTGCTTACATATGGCCCACACACCGCAAAAAAGGATGGCTGTTTGATGTGTTATACAGTGTTGGTCAAGTTACTTGAAAAAAGTAATCAGTAACTAATTACTGATTACTTCCCCAAAAGAGTAATCCCGTTACTTTACTGATTACTTAATTACTTTTGAAAATAAGTACTTAGTTACTTAGTTACTTCAGTTTCACGATTTACAACCTGAATAGGTGATAAAGCGATAGATCTTTCAGCCCAATTCTACTTTTTCTACATAATCCATTATACAGAATGTAATCAAATGGAAAAGTCTCTTTTTAAAATTTGTTTTATCAGTTTTAATCTTTTAACTTTATGCATCAAGCAAAAATTTAATTATATGCAACATTCTCTGACTTGAATAAATTAGTTTAACATTTAAAGCTATTTTCTGCACATTCCAGCACATAAAATATTTTTTTTTGTGTTTACACTCAGTCTTTCAAATAGATGCAAGTAAAACACAGCAGAAAATAAATAAAGTCAAAGACTCAGCGGTCCTGTTGCTCTATTTTCACCTGTAAAGCAGGACTGCGGTAGGCGGAGGTTTACCCTGGTGCAGGTGTGCCGTGGTCAGTTGAAGAATCCGCGAGTATCTCTGTGAGTTTCCCATTACGTCGTTGCGCACTCGGTGCTTGCTTGGAAGTTTAGGGGTTTTTTTCGCTGTAAAAAGAAGTTTTCTTCCCATGCACAATGGACGCTAATGTTTTTGTCACTTTTTATGGAATCAAACTCAAAGTAAGGTCAGTACTTCCACACTTTAAACGCTGCACGCTCATACTCTCTCCCACAATCGATATGTGATCCATTGTTGATCTGCAGACAGCTGTTGTCACTAACGGCGCACTCGCTTACGTCACCGTCGTGAGACATTCTCGCAAAAAATCACGGTTTTAGTAACGCAGTAACGCAGCGTTCCTACGGGAAAGTAACGGTAATCTAATTACCGTTTTTGCAATAGTAATCCCTTACTTTACTAGTTACTTTTAAAAAGTAATCAGATTACACCATCTCTGGTGTTATATGTTTAAAAGTAACGTAGTCAGTTTTGAAGATTAACAATGGCTAACACTGAGCAGTGCTGATTTTCTAACACTGGAATATTTCTAACATTTTGAGTTATTTTCCAGTGTTAGAAAATCAGCACTGCTCAGTGTTAGCCATTGTTAATCTTCAAAACTGACTAGGTTACTTTTAAACATATAACACTGTCAAAAGTGTTAATTTAACACTCAACAGTGTTGTATTTAACACTCAGAGGTGTGGACCCATATATTAATGGATTGGATTTATATAGCGCTTTTCAAGGCACCCAAAGTGCTTTACAATACCACTATTCATTCACTCTCACACACTGATGGAGGCAGCTACAGTTGTAGCCACAGCTGCCCTGGGGCAGACTGACAGAAGCGAGGCTGCCATATCGCGCCATCGGCCCCTCTGGCCAACACCAGTAGGCAAGTAGGGTAAAGTGTCTTGCCCAGGGACACAACGACCAGGACAGAGAGCCCAGGGATCAAACCGGCGACCTTCCGGTTACAGATGCGATTCCCAACCCCCTGAGCCACGGTCGCCCACGACACTCTCTAGTGTTAATTTAACACTGGAGATTTTGCTGTGTATAGCGCTTTTCTAAAATGGCCTGTATTTGTATAGTGCATTACTAGTCCCTAAGGACCCCAAAGTGCTTTTACACATCCAGTCATCCACCCATTCACACACACACACACACTCACACACCGGTGATGGCAAGCTACACTGTAGCCACAGCCACCCTGGGGCGCACTGACAGAGGCACCAGGATTACTCTCCTCTCCTCGCCTCTCGCGGATTACTCAAAATGCTCTATACAACATGCCACATTCACCCAATCACACACGTTCTCTACACTGAGTGCTTCCTAACTACATTCACACACATTCACACTCTTGACATGCAGACTGGAGGAGCCAGGGATCAAACCACTAACCTTCAGTAGGCGACCTGTTGTACCTCCTGAGCTACAACTACCCGGTGGTAAACGTGAGTAAACCCTCACTAGGTTTTGGATAAAGTGTAAACTCACAAACCTGTCAAACCTGCATCTGAAACGTTGGCTAGCATAGCAGTATAGTATTGCAACATGACATTTGGATCTTCTAACTAAAATAGGAAAATAAGAACATAAATAGTGCCATCATTGCCAGACCTGGCCCACAGCTGGTTGATATACACCCTGCCATGACACCAGTCAGTCAGAAGTGCCAGCTTGATGCTGGATCTGGGCCAGACCTGTTTTCTATGAGCCTGGGCCACATACACCAAACCAGAATCGGGCCAGATGTGGCATACCATCACATAAACAGTGCCATCTACGCCAGGCCTGACCCATATCTGGATGACGTACCACTTACCATGCCAGAAGTCAGCCAGCAGTTCCGGCTGGTGTTTTAGCTAGCAAAACAGTGTGGCTGATGAGGAGTGAAGACACGCTAATGACAACATGTACAACCACTGGAGATGTGAGAAGGACAGACGGAAACATTTAGGTGAAATTTAAGTTCTTAATCAGTTTTATGCTTATTCTAGTGTCATTTATAAGAATTTCCATCTATAATGGTCAATAATCATTAAATGCTATTGCTATGAGTAGCAGAAATTTTACTGTGTAATTAAATATTTTACAGAGTTAATGGAATTTTCACAGAACCACATGCTTTTGCTACAGCACACATGTCCTTGTGCAAAATGGGAAAGTTTTAATTTTATCATGACAAAATGTTATCTCTAAAAGGTGTACATGTCTCATTTCTTCCAGAGCAGCCTTGCACCAGAACG